CATAATTCAGAAAGATGACGATATAAAAGTGACACAATAGAGTTGATGATGAAGTTTATCCTCTTATACCAATTGCTATTGCTAACTATGGTGGATTGTGACCTTCTTTGACCTCTTTTTTAATGGTCATGAACCTTCCTTTTGCGTCTTCTTTCCACCAACCAATATCATCGTTGACATGTTTTTTAAATTAATTATATTTACAATGTAATTTAATTGAGAATTATACATTAATGATTATTATTAAATTATGCAATAATTAATAGAAAAATAATATTTATGACATATTTAAATTAATTAAAAAAGTGTAAGAATTTTTATATCAACAATTCACACAAATTATATTATATTTTTAATTAAAATTATCTTTTTTGTTGTTTTAAAAAAATTTAATATTGTTATAAATTATTAATTATTTTAATTTTAAAATAGCACAACAAATGTCTCAAAATATCACTTAAATTTTGTACTTCTAAAATCCTATTTCAATCAAACTTGGTTACGGAGGAAGAACGTAACTTACTGTTGTCTTGTCTGTTTTTTTTTTTTTAGGATTTGTACTTTTTCGACAAATTAAAAATATAAAAAAATTAACTGAAATCCTAATGCAATAAAACTTGTCAATAATGTTAAAGTTTAACGTGTTTAAAAATATCGTGTAAAAAAACATATATAAAACATTTTTATCGTGACTCTTATATGCTTACAGTAATTTCTATTTAAGTAATTTTTTAGTAAAATAATTTTACTATTAATGTAATCATAAAAATAAAAATATTATTAAGATGTATCACATTAATTATGAATAAAGTTAAAATATTCCTCTTCTTATAAACTAATTATTTTGTAAAGTCAAATCAAGTTTAAAATGTAAATGAAATATAACTCATATATCTTACTTCTACAATTAATTATTTTCACTAAAAAGAAAACTCGTTATCTGCTCTATTCTTTTGTTATTGTTCAATTCAAAAGTCGCTGGATTCTGTGTCACAGCACCTAAGTTTGTGTTATTTAAGTTATTTGACCAATAAATCGTATTTTACGATTTACCCAATGGACTATAATTTTTTTTTAAATAAGTTAATTTTTATAATCAAAGATAAATAATGAAAAGCTATACTTTTTTATTAAAAAATAAAGTTTCTATTATCTTAAAAATATACAAATATAATAAATATTATAATTTTAATAAAATTAAACTATTTATGTGTTTCATCAATAAATATGTAATACATCACATCAAATCAACTGCAACCATGAAACTTGAGAATCAAATCGTGAAGGTTGTCAAATTGTCATAAAGAAAAATAATTTATGATATTAATACGATTATTAGATGCTTTAATCGTTGCTTTGTCAAACTGTCGTGTCTTGGGAACTAATCAATTGCCGCTGGCAATTGATATGTGTTTTTACGTTTTAAAAATTTATAAGTGAATATTTAAACCTTTAAATATTTTTAGTTGAGTTGTTTATTGCATTTTTCAGAGTTACGTTCAGTATAAAAATACAATTAACAAATAATTACTTAAAGACTTATTAAATATTCAAACTTGTAATTTAATCTCTGCTTTTTTCAAATAATAAATTATTATACTTAATAAAACCTTGACAGAATCCTGACCACAAGGCTAAATTAAAAATGATTAAACATTTTTATAATTCAATTATAAAATTTTAAAATATGCAAAATATTTTTAAAAATTATAAATGATTAATGAACTTATAAGATTAATTTAATAAAAGTTGTAGAGTGAATTTGGACAAGTTTCGTATTGGGGTCCACACATTTATAAAACTATGTTGACGTAGTGTACATGTCTAATGGGGACCATCGTAAGCAATCATCTCACCGAAAGATACCCAGATATTAAATTAAACCTACATTCTGAATTTTATTTTTCCATTCGATTACTTTTTTTTAACAATTATGATTTGCATTTTAATTCTTTGTTGTCTTTCTTTTATTATTTTTTTACTATATTAGATTAGTTCTTAATTTTTTTTCATCTCTTTTCATCACACACATATTATCTCAAAATAATTTTATTAAAATATTTTAAACATTTTTTAGGAATTTAATATTCAAAAAATAATTTAAAACTATGTCTAAATAAATCATAAAAAGAGTAATTCAATAGAGTTTTGGCTTAATTTTTTAAATTATAAATTTATTACTTTATTATTTTTTAAAATTTGTATAAAAATAATAAAAGTAATAATTTTTAATATTTTTATAAAATGTTTAAAAAATAAAGATGTTGATTTTGTAATTAAAATAAAAAATAAATTAATTCTGAAAGGAAATAATCTTTAAAATTTTCAAAAAGATAACAAGATTTAGTTATACTTGTAATTATTTTTTTAAATTATTTCAAGTATACCAGACACAATTATAATACTTTTAAAAATTATGATTTTTATAAAATCTAATTTATAGTAAACATGGTTAGTAGAAAATATATAATTATTAAAATTTAAAATTCTACGTAGCAAATATTCCCTTTGAAATAAACTCTGTTGAAACTGCTTTTTTAACTAATATACAAACCGTGTTTGTAGTTCATGAAAGTAAATAAAGAGAGGGTTTTTTTTATATATATACAAAAAATTAAAAAATTACAATAAATATGATGTTTTGAAAAAATTACAAATAACGTTTTTATAAAATTGTTACGGAAGACTTTTTATTTTAAAATTTTTCATTATTTTTTCAAAAATCTGCTGACAGTGATTTTTTATTATTTTTTTTATGAAAATTCATCGTTAACAATTTTTAGAACTTAATAACTTTTCAGTGTTCTATTGTATCTACACACCAAACATCGTTAGTGATAATTTTTTATTTTCATATTTTTATACTACACAAATCGTTCTGAAATTTAAAAGTAAAAGTAATAATTAATATATTCAAAGTACTAGCTAAAAATTGAAATAAAAAGCATCAAAATATATATATATATATATATATATATATATATATATATTTGATATACACCAATATAAAATTACAATGTTTTTCAATACTTTTAAACATAATTTTTATTGAATAAAAAAATTAATTTTGATACACTTGGTAGAGTTACACTATCAATAAATCAAATAACCGTGAATATGATTATTATATTATCTATTAAACAAAATATAAATTATTGTTGACATGATAATCTGCGATTGAGTAAGTTATTTAAATTAAATTTATTAATATATTTATTAAAATATATGTAATATTTTTAAAATATTAGTTAATGAGTGACAAGATAAATTTTCTACCGTCCTATTTAGACCTTGGAAATATATATACATATTGTGAACTAATGTAAGGATAGTAAAGTGGGATTGATCTAATATGGTAATCCACTTTTTATTGAGCTTTTGATGAGTCGAATTGAGCTAAATCCTTTTATCATCCCTAAACCGTTCATGAAAATGTTCCATTATGGCCATACTATAATATTATAATTTGTGTAGTTATTAGATATTAGACGTTGAACAACTGTGCGAATAAATAAAGCAACCTATTTTATTTTTTGGGGCCATGCCCAACCTCTTAAACTATTCTTCATACCAACTTATACAATTCCACATCCATGACTTTGGAGATGAAAACATGAATCTTAAATCAAAGTTCATTAATCCACCCCCTAAAAAAACAATATATATTTATTTTACTTATAAATATACATACTAAGCTTTACTTACAATGTTTATTCTCTAATTATAGATCAGCAGTAAATATCTTCAAGAAAATCCAGCATTATAAAATACTATGATTTAAAAAAAAATACACTGAATTTGCTAAAAGTATTTGATAAATGGGTAGATAGGCAAGACATTGACCCCCTCATGCTTTTTCGCTTGAAACCAAACTTATCCCTTCATTTTACGATTCCATGTTTCAAACTAATTCACTTCTTTTTTTTTATCCGAAGTAGTTAAACAAGATCAACTCTAGCCCCAATTTTGGACTAAATTTTCACTTTAATTTTTGAAACGTGCAATGTTATAATTCATTTTATATTTAAAATATGTTGAAATTAAGTTAAAAAATAATAATTAGTTACCTTAAGTAATACATAAAAGTTAATTTTAAACGCAAAATGATATTATTTTATTTTTTTTAAAATAATTTATCTTTTGTGTGATAATTGTTTTGTTTATGAATCTTAATGTTTCTTAATTTTAATAACTGATATTTAAAATATTAATTTTGAAAGATTGTTCTAAGTGAATGTTTATTCTCAAAATTAAATTGCTAAAACAGTTCGATTGCTCAAAATAACCGGCAATTAGCCCAACCAATAGGATCGTGTCAGTTTTGAAAAAACCGATTTTGCGAATGTGAACTCAACTGAGTCAACCAGGGGCATATTTTAGGCTAAATTATTATTTTAATAAACAAAGACAAATTTAATTAAAGTTACATGAACTGAATTGCTGGGTAAAAAATAACGGAAATTATTGCTTGGTCAAAATAATCGAAATTATTAAAAAAGCAAATAAAAAAATTTCTTAATTATTTATGCTGTATTTATCATTATTGTTTCAATACAAGATTTAAACAATGCTGCAGGAAAAAAAAGAATTCAATACTTTTTTTAAAGAAAGGCTGGGGGTTTAAATTACGTGGCTTTTCTTGTTTGGTGAGTCAATTACTGTTTCAAAATGTCAACTGTTACTTTTTTGTTTAATAAATAGTTTTTATTAATTGGTTAAACTAATGGCAATGATATTTTAAAAAAATACATAAAGTAAGCAAAAAAAAATAATACATAAAGAATAATAATAAACACTTTCTTTCCTTTTTTATAAAAAAAAGAAATAGATATCATTTAGTACTAGGTAATGGTATTCATTCATCTTTATTAGATTCTGGGTTGGCCGCCTGCTTTTCTTTCGTTAGAACATGATGGGTATTTTCGTCCATCAAAATTATTCTCTCACATTGAACATAAAGATATTAAGATATATAACAATAAAGAATAAATAAATCAGATAATAAATATTGCTTTAGCGTAGAAGAGAAGGCAGAGACTAGAGAGAGAGTAAAAAATTTTTAAAAAAAAGGCAAAGATTTATGCGAATGTAACGCATAGGGTGAGGTTGTTCCAAAGTCACTCTCTTTGCAACCTCCGAGGAATTTTGATATCATCTTCTGCGATATTTTGTCATCAATTTTTGAAATCTCTTGTTAGACAGATACGGGAGCTTCTGTTTGTGTCAGCAAGTTCTTCTCTTTTGTCCATTTCGATTCTCTCTGTTTGTGGGAAAATGCTGGTTCGGAGGAGGGTGATGAGTTGGAGAAGGGTGGCCAAGTCCCTCCAAGCTCTGCTTGCTCATGCCTTTCTCTTCTCCTTTACTCTTCTTCTTGCTCTCAAGCTTGACCGTTTCATTCATTATGCATGGTGGTTAGTTTCTCTCTCTCTCTCTTTGTTGATTTTCACATTCGTTTTGATTACTCAATTCAGTAAAAGTTGAAAACAATCAAAGGGGCAGGACAAAATTCTATCTTTTTATGATTTTTCTTTTGCATGGCCATATCTAGCTTCATGCTTAAGTTATGAGTTGCTGACTTCTTGTGTGGTGGACAAGGTTCGGTGCTAATTTGTTTCCCCCCATTTGATTTTTAATGCACGCAGATGATCCTTTATTTGGGTTTTTTTTTTTTTTTTTTTTTGTAATTTTGGGAAATAAAAATGACATTCATTGAGGTGAACATGGCTAGATTTCTTTTTTTCCTTCTTTCTAGAAAAGCAATTTGCTTACCATGTATGCTATTGCTCTTTTATTTCTTTGGAAATTGGATGGGATACCATCCAGTTTGAGTTTTTGGTTTCTGCTTTCCCTTTGGGGAACTTATTTTATTTTTTAATGTTTTTTTGTGGATTCCTATATGCTTTAATGTTATCTCCCCAAGGAAAGTGAAGAGAGAATCTTTTTGTTTCATCGGGGAATGAAACTTTAATACATTTACTGAAATTGCGAATATAATATATATCACGATAAGGTTTGGAATGGGTTAATTTTGTATGTTCCAAAAGAATGTTTTCTACTGCAATGCATATCATGATAAGGCTTTCAAACCATATTAGTAATATATTAAAAGTAGGAGAAATCTTCTTTATTGCCTCTCTAATTAATCACAACTCTAGTGGGTACTGTTCTCAACCAAGTTGTACCGCTGATAATAATAATTAAAGGATTCAAAGTTTTCAATGGTTCTGAACATCAAATGATTGGTCTTATGCATGCGTGGGCTTATGATTGTACATGAACCTATAGGATTCAATTCACAGAAAATCTAACTCATAGCAATAAGATTATGTCATTTCTGTTTTCATTCTATACTCTGCATTGTCAAGTTTGTTACACTAAGGAATATGTATGGGTGTGTCATTTTCATGTTGATACCCTCTTTATTTATATTATGCTGAACATTGAATAGGACAAAGAATTTGATCATTCGGAGTAAATCATGGGCTAGTCGTTCAAATCAAATCATGCCTTAAAATATTACAAAGAAATAGATTAAGCTAGAACATATTCTTCCCATTGTAGTTACATTGTAACGTGTCCTTTTGGCAGGGTTGTATTTTTTCCTCTGTGGCTTTTTCATGCTGTGGTAGCACGGGGCAGGTTTTCCTTGCCGGCTCCTTCAATGCCTCATGATCGCCGAGTAAGTTATGCTTCTTGGAAGATATCCTTCCTATTTTTTGAATTAGAAAATTCTCCTGCACATTTTTGTTACTGAAGTAAAAACAAATTGTTATGGGCAGTGGGCTCCTTGTCATTCAGTCGTAGCTACACCATTACTTGTTGCATTTGAGCTACTTCTTTGTATACATCTGGGCAGCAGTTATGGTAGGCAACATTTTCTTGGGGCACAACCATCACGTGAATGCTATTGAACACTGTATCTTCACATCAAGATAAAATGTGGTACTTTTACAAGATTTCTAGTGTAAGATATCAGTTTATATAATCCATTGAATTGATGCAGCGATGAATTTAAAGATTGTCTTCGTACCCCTGATAGTTCTTGAAGTGGTGATTTTGATTGATAATGTCAGGTATTTATGTTGTTCCATTTATAAGCTTACTGAAGTCTATATTTGATTGGTTTAAGAGGAGTTTGCAGGGTGTGTCTATTGTCATTCTTAGTTGTCTATTGCCACTCTTATTTAAGTGACTTCTGTTTAAAATACCTTTTTCTTCTTTCTTAATCAAATTAATAATAAAGGTATTTTATATAAAAGATAAGATGGCAATAGACACACGAGAGTGGTAATAGACACGTCTGAGTTTTCACTTATATTTCAACTCATTTGTAGCCACCCATCTTCTGTAATATCAGCCAAAACTGTTCAAAAAAATGGCAACAGAATCATGTCAAATATTCTATGATATCAAATGATTTATAAAGTAACTTGTTTTTTTTTGGCTCTGCTTTCAATGAATCATTTTGATAGTTGAGAAATTTCATGCCTTTAAAATCTTGTAATAGCTGAATTTTGTGCCTAGTCATGCTTAAGCTCAATTTCAATCATTTATACAAGTTGCAATGCTATTTTATGCTATTCTAACAGATGGATGCTTTGTTGACAAAAATGTCTTTTCATAGGATGTGTAGGGCTTTGATGCCTGGAGATGATGAAAATTTGACTGATGAAGCAGTATGGGAAACTCTTCCTGTAAGATATTATTCATTAGTTGATTAATTAATTAATCAGGGATGCGATGTGTAATAAAAGAAATTAAGGTTCCTCAATGAAACTACCAAAATAGGCACCTGTACTAGCATTTTCCTGGCAATCTAAAATACTCAGCTTTGATCGTTTTTAAGTAAGATTTATTCAAATCCTTAGTGAATTTTATTGTAAGAGGAATGTGAAATGGTAATAAGATTGTGATTATATCCATAACTTAAAAAGCCTTTTGATATGTATGGTAATGTGGTTGTAGATTTTACTGAATCTTGGTTGTGATTATATCTATAATTTGCTGTATGGTTTGTAAAAAAGAAAAAATTGAAGCACTTTAAATTTTTTAAAAACTTCAAGTTTCCTTTTCTTTATTATTTTGTTCATGTTTCGCACTGGGTTGACAATTATTCCTTTTATATATCAAGTGTGACTTCCTTTTGGACATTCATTTTTGTTGTCTGATTCAAATTCAACTTGAATAATGTTTCACATTTCATTCTTATAAATAGTCGTATGTGTTATGATTTAGAAACATGCTGATAGAAACCAGTATCTTATGAGAAAGAATACGGGAATTCTTCCCTGATTACAGCACTGCAGAAACTGAGTATCTTATTAGAAAGAAAAAAGGAATTCTCACCTGAATATAGATACAACTCTATAGAAATTCAAGGATCTGCACCTCCCAATGCCAGAAGGTCCTAATTTTCTCTCACAAATGACAAGATGCCTCTCTCCCTCAGAGGCAACATGCCTTATTTTCTAATTATGTCAGCCCCCAACAACCAACACCCACCCCCTTAGTAAACTATTTATTCCACTAACTAACTGGGTTATACTTATCTAACATATGCTACGGCTCATGTTTTCTATGTGGTGCTTGCATGGCTTATTGGCACTTGTACAATGTACGGGCACATTCTACCATAAGGTCTCTTTATATTTTAATCTTAGAGGAAGTTAGTCTTGGAAACACTTGAACTCTACATATTTGTTGTTAGTGTGTCTTTATATTTCAACATAGGAGTAGGCCAGAACACAAGTCATACAACTAATTATCAAATTCATATCCACCTTGGGCACCAACACTAGTTATATTTTGCCCTTTTATGCCTTACCTAAGTTGATAGTGCTGATCTGTTCGCAATGTGTATGACATTGATAGTTTTGTTGCATTGAGGTGATCATTTAATATTTGTATACTTGCTCTGCATCAATGCCTTTTTTACTTGCCTTAATAATTGACATTACCCTATCCAAGACTTGTCTACTACAAAGGGAACTTTTTGAGTGTTTTACTTAGTAGATTATGTGATCTTTCTTTTGTTTTTATTTTCCCAAAAGCTCAAAACTAAATTGTATAATTCTGTTTTCTAGCACTTCTGGATTTCAATATCCATGGTCTTCTTTATCGCTGCCACAGTGTTCACCCTACTAAAGATATGTGGTAAGTTTAAGTTTCTCTTGAAAACAATTGTTGATCATGTAATGAGCTTCTATTCTGTCTAATTCATTGTTAACTTGGAGCTGCTTCTTGCTATTGAAATATAACTTTATCTCGCCCATAATTTCTTGATCTCTCTCTATATCAATGTTTTTTGTGATGGTTAATTTTCCACAACATTTTACCATGATTTATGAAACTGATTCCTTTAAATATACAGATATTAGCTGTCTGCAATACACTATTCTCTAGCATTGACTTTTATTTATTTAATGAAGAATTTAGGAAAGTTTTAATTTTATTTTGGAACTAAGGTGTTCATACATTAAGTTTGCTACTTACAGATTTAATTCCCCATTTGGTTGGACTTCATCTTTTGTTTGTTAACTTGAGTTTTTTTTTTTTTTTTTTTTTTTTTTGAGGGGGAAGGAGTGAGAGTGGGAGTGGGGTTTTAAATAATCACTTTTGTCAAATAGTTATAGCTCCTTCCTTCCTTTTACATTGTGCTAAGAGTTATCATAATTTTTTTTATTAATACATAAACTAGATAAAGTTTTATATTCTCCCATGTTGATACCAATCACTCAGCTTAGCCTACTAATAATAATTGCAAAAAAGACAGAAAAGTTTATGCCAGATATTGAAGCTGTACATATCTTGACTTTTTTAATCTGAATTCCTTGTTTGGCTGATGAAAAACAAAGTTAAAGTGTCAAATAAAACTACTTAAGGTCTGACAAGGAATTTTGATCACTATATCATATCTATTGTGGATTTACAATGTATTTCCATATGTGCGTTCTAACATATTGCTTAGAAATGTTTATTATTGGTTATTCAGAATTTCAGACTTGGGGAAATGGTATGTTTGGTTATTTCATGTAAATTATGCAGGGATGGGATGTCATAAATAATTCTTAAAGAATTTTTCTAATTAAGCTAAGTCTTAATTAAAATCTGTGTAAACAAAGGCCTGGAGACAGAAACTGGCAAACAGTAAGGTTTATTGACACAATGGCACTGATGTCAGCATTGATGTTTGTAGTTTGTATGATATTGAAGAGTAGAAAGAATAAGTATCTGGAAGAGGTTCCTCTCCATAAAATAATTCAATAATTTCAAAGATACTCATAAATACAACATACTGGAGTAAAAGCATATATTCAAACATTTTTTATTTGCAGAATTGAAAAGAATAAGCATTTATTTCCCTATGTGTTTCTATCACATTGGCATACATTTAGAATATTTAGGGCAGGCTGTATTTTCTTTTTTCAACTATGCCCCCCAACAATGAGGATCAATCAAGATGACTTAGAAATATCCAAAAACAAGGTTGTTAAATATCCATGTAACTGAATATTTGTTGTTTATGTATGATTTGGTCATGATATGTTTTCATGCTGTTTAGTGTTTCTTTGATTACATTCTTTTCAAAATTCCCCATTTGACTGTAATTGATACTCCTTAAAACTTTTCGTTACTTTCTTTCAATTTCTTGCAGGTGATGTTGCTGCTCTAGGATGGTGGGACTTATTTATTAATTACGGGTACAATCATCATATTGCGGTAGACTAGTATGTATTTGGCATTAGTCTTGTCCCATTTTATTCGTAAAATTCCTTGTATTCTTTTGCAGAATTGCACAGTGCTTTGCGTTTCTTGTTTGTACAAAGTGGCACAATCCAGCAATTCATGGAGGTTGTCAGATTGCAGAACCATGTTCATCGTCAAATACCATAAGATACCTGGACTGGAGTAGAGCAGGCTTAGTTATTACCACCAATGAAGATGGGCGGCAAAATGGATTCTGCAATCTGCAGGACATTTGTGGGCATATTATGAAAATTCCATTCATTGGTTTCCAAATACTTATTTTTATGCATTTAGAGGTATGATAGATACGAACAAAAACCCTGTCATTATGTTCTTCAAATTTGTTGGTACTTTGTTTGATTTTCTTTCCTCTTTCTTTTTTTATTTATATTTTTAGGGAACACCATCCAGCGCAAAATATATGCCAAATTGGGTCATTTTTTCACCCCTCTTTCTGTTGCAAGGAGTCGGGGTTTTGTTTGCAACATATAGATTAATAGAGAGGATAGTTCTTTTACTCTACACTGGAGATATTCCTAGAAGATACTCAGCTGTAGCATCAAGATCCCGTGAATGCTTTGGCTTCTTTCGTCGTGGATCAAGGTGTCAGTTTATATATGATTAGAAAAAGAATTTATCTTTGATAGATTCTCTATGGCTCTTATAAAACTTTCAAAGTTGGTGAACTAACATGGAGACTTTGCCATTACCTGCATTTCTTTCTTAACAGGTTACTTGGTTGGTGGTCAATAGATGAAGGGAGTAAAGAGGAAGAAGCTAGACTTTTTTGTGCTGGGAATTCTGGGTCAGTTACTACATTAAGCCTTTCATAGTTATCAACCATGCACTTTAGTGCTATAGCAGTGCGGAGTGGCCATGACCGACTACAAAGTTTGAATAGTAGTGCTTTTTATAGACCGTAATGATGCTAAAGTGAAACTTAAAAAAAAAAGAAACATTTTTACCCTCAAAATAGCATTGTTTTGGGGGGACTTTTTTAGGGTCAATGACTCTGCTGATTTTCCCCTCCTCCCTTTCAGAATTTGAAAAACCCCCAATTGGATGTAGAGCCCTATGATTCTATCTACCATGCAACTCCCACATTGCTACTAGCAACATCATTTTGTTTGTTTCCTTGATTTTTATTGTTATTTACTTGTATGTGTTACTTATTTGTATGGCTCATTATTGTTTATTATGAATATGTCATGAATTTTGAGTTTATTTTTTATTTTATTTTTGAGCATTCATATGTATACAGTATATATTATTTAATTTGTATATAAAAATTTTGAATAGTGGTGCACTGTCCTGCAATACTGTTTTCGGGGTCATCCACTATCCAAGAAATGACATTTCTTCATTATCATAAGCCATTCTTTCTCATGCTCAAGAGCTTTTAATCCCAGGAACCTTGTTAGCCCTCACAATTTCACATAGGACATATCCTTCTCTTGGAAGTCTCAAATAGTGTATTGTAATGATTATTTTTTCTTAAATTAGCAAAGCTTTCTCTATGTTCTGTTTAAATACTTAAATAGAATTGAGATCTTGTTCAATTCTGATTTTTCAGTGATGGTTATAACTGTCATGTTGACAATTGGACTGTGCTTGCATTAAGATGAGATCTGTTCTTTCTCTTATTTATGCTCTCAAGTGGTTTTTACTACCTTAATTATTTGCCACTTATGTGATAGCTATTTTGAACAGTATATATAATAATGTCAATCAAGTTTATTTCTGATGATATGTGATTCGATTTACTATTTAGGTACAATACTTTCACCCCGGATACAGTGAAAAAAATGCCTAGAACAGATCTGGTTGAGGAGGTGAAGACGTTTCCTTGTATCAAAATATGTAGCTACCACATTTTTTTTTATGATATGGTTTTCTTATTTTAGGATAACTCAGTTGAACCGATTGCATAAGAAGGTTTAATCTTAGTCCTACACTTCAATAGTCACAGTTCTTTCATAACTCACAGATTTGGAGACTACAAGCTGCGCTGGGTGAACAAACAGAAGTTACAAAATTTAGCCAAGAGGAGTATGAAAGACTTCAAAATGTAGCATTCTCAACCTTGATTGATTATTTTTGGCATTATGTATGTGTGAATCACCATGCATTGGTCGTTTAAGTAGTTAGTTAGTTGTACAATATCAACTTTTTATGAAGCATTATTATTTTTAGTTTCATTGGTCAATGGGGTCCGACTTGGTGAGTGCTTTTTTTTTTTTGGCGAGGGGGGGGGGGGTAGGGCTCATATATTTTGCCTTAATTTTTTTTTTCACAGAATTTAGTTTGAAACTCATTTAAACTGAGCTGATTGAAAGTTAATTAAAATTGCATACCTGCCTTAAATTATTTGTATTATTATTATTATTAATTATTATTTTTTGTCGAACAAACATGTGATTGATTGAAATGACCCTTATGCTTTAATTCCATGATTTATTTATCCGGGCAGTCCTCCTTAACATCAACAGTATTGTTTTATTTTATTGAAAATTTTAATTTTTACTGAATTTTGGGCTAACCTTTGTCCCTTCTCAACTTTTGGTTTATTGGCTACTTTTACGACATGGTAGAAGTAAATCATAGTAAGGCTACAATTGTTTCAATAAGAAGTTTGCATTATATGACCCCTTACCAATGCAGGAAAAAATGTTTCACATTTGTTCCTTAAACACCCACAATGTTCTTAAATATGTAATTAGAAGTAGTTTACGTGATCATGTACAAACATTCTTGTTTTAGTCATTTTTGTTCATTGTTGATGCATGAATGATTATCGACCATATCAGGATCTAACACTCTTCAAATTGAAAATGACAAATCTGTCAGGAGAAGATCTTATGTAGAGTTTGCTTCGAAGAGCAGATTAATGTGGTCCTACTTCCCTGCAGGCATCACATTCTTTGCAGGTAATTATAACTCTTCTACTACTCAAAGCCCAAAAAAGGAAATTCTTCTGTAAAGAATCCATTTTTATTTAGTAAATTGCATTCCTATGTTATTATTAATATGTAACACAAAATCTTATATGGAATTTATGTTCGAGATATTGATTGCTTCCCTCTTATATGGACAACAGCACTTGCTGCGAAAAATGCAAGAGGTGTCCTGTGTGCCGCGGCCCCATCAAAGAACGGATGCCTGTGTATGATGTGTAGATTGAGTACAATGAAGATGTATAGATATCTTACTGACCATCCAGCTTGTGGTTTTAGATGAGGCAAGCACTGAGGGTTATCAATTTCTCTGTTCATACATATCATGAAGTTGTATATAATTTTTTAAGCATTCAATAATAGGTATTGCAAGTTTACCCCCTCCCCCGTCTTTCTCTCAGTGCATTCTTGCAATTGTGAAGGGATTGCCAATGTAGATGCATTGCCTATGATGCTATCTACACCAAAAATGCAAGATGATTGTTGAACTCTTTGAACTTATATCATGCCAGGATTGATTATTTAGGGATTCGATTAGAGATCTATATTTTACAATAACAAGTAGAAAGTGGTCAAACAGAATGTAATTAAACCCGAATATATGCCCAACATAAGCTATTCTTGGCCACTACTGATTTAACAGAATTATTTTGGATGCATACACATCTATTATACTCGTAGACTACAATGTGGTCTGTAAAAAAGAGACAATAATGTGACACATAGATTTTCTTTGTTTTTATTTGTAGTCACTATTGAATATTAAAGTACTAATTCGACAACTCTTTTTTGTTTCTAATCCTAGTATTTGACTCACCGATAGCATATAGTAAAGCCAAATCCGATATTATTCTTTATAGCTTCAACAGCGACATTTATGACCATCATAGATTCATATTTCATAGTGTATTATCCATAGCTGCACAAATCCCGCTACTTGTGGGGGCCACATTTGCATAGATTCTTTGTAATCTTTGTAGATTTTGTGAAATTACATAGCCTACAGGCGCCCTCTATAAATTTTAAAATTTTTTGTTTTATTACAAATTAATGTTTTATTTCATTTTGTCAAAAACTGATAAAATAATGGAAATTTTCCGAGGTGATCTCTAGTCCAGTGTCTCAAGACACAGTGAATAGGAAGTCTTAAAGGTGTTACATTGTTACACAAAGATTTAATACCAAAACAAAATAGCTTTATTGCACCTCAACATTTTTAAGGAAAGTAGTAAAATATTTTAGGTGAAACAGTTTACGTAATAACATCATAGTAAAGGTCTATATCTAATGACTTGAGCATTTCTACCACTCCAAAGTCTAGTATTTATCAACTACGAAAGTGGAATATTTTTGAGGTGACTCTTTTCAACATGAAGCTGTGATTGACACTGCTTCTACTACAGACTCTATGCCGTTAATTTGATTTTCCCATTTATGAATATTGTCCTTGATCATGAGTACGAAGTCCTCGAAGCAATCCTCTAAGCACCTGAACGGTTCATCTGGGTAGAGAGCGCTAATCTCAACATCATGAAGTCCATCTAGTTTGATGTTTACTTGGCAACCTTTTAAACAATTTTCTGCATTTCCACACATCAAAAGTAATAATAGTCATGCAATGAAGAATCATTTTATAAGTAACCCCACTTTAGTTCATGATATTATAATTTTCATCACTTTAAAAAAATGTTTGTTTTCTTAATATATTTTATACTAACATCAAAGACTAACTTCAGACTGAAATGGGAATTTATTTGGTCGTTAATTATGACACAAATCACAAAACTTGCTCAGAAATAAAAGGGAAGGAAATGAACCTGCAGCAAGTGCTAGAAGATCATCTTCTGAGATGGTGACTCTGGGAATTGTACGACCAATTTTGTTTTCCCATAAATAAGCAAGCTCGTTGATGCTATAACAATTATTCGATGGTCGAAAATGAACATTTTTGTTGACAGTTCTGACATCATCAACAACCTTCATAGTGAACTTTCCAATATCAATGCCATCAACAAAATAAGCTGCAGAAGGTACAAAATTTCACAAATGGGATAATGTGTGAAAGGAAGAGTGGTAGCTTAATATTTAGTCATACCTTTGACATTGCCATTAACATATATCTCTAACTGATAAATGAGTGGAGGAAGCTGTGATGGATGACAATTGTCATAGTAAGGCCAAGAAGCAATGGAATTGCAACATATATTGGTGAATGGGACCCCACATTCCTCAATCATACGCCTAATCAAACGCTTATTTTTGTACATTGTTAGACCTGGCTCCACAGGATCTGCCCTGTCCACATCGTGCTCAAACTCCGAAGGCAAAAATCTCTGTCACATTACATTATTATAACACTTCAGTAATTATTTTTTTAATGACAGTCATATACAAAACTTTAATCTTAATTGGTGAATAATAAAATAAACATCTATAAACTGTTTATTTGAGCAAAAACATTAATAACATGACAAAGCTGTCTTTCGTAGTCAAACTATAAACTGTTCTTTTGGTAAGTTTCAGCTACACAAAAATTTCGGGAGGATTTTATATTAATAAATAATAATAAAAAGTGATACCGCATGAACAGTTTTTATGATAATAATAGTAATAGTAATTAAACTTTAAACCGTTTAAGAATGGGCGAATGGCTAATACACTTATCATTCGTTTTAGCGTTACAATGTAAAAAAGAAAAGCAATTACCTACAAAATGTAACGCTCTTGATTTATTTTTTATTTGTGTGTCATTCCACTAATTACAGTAGGATTTTCGGTATTAGTTTTTCTGAAAATATCATAACAAAATGAGGAATTGGCTATTTAATAAATTAAAAAAGAAAGAGTAAAATTGTACCTTAATAGTATTAACAGTTTTAATGGCTTCCACCAATGAAAGCTGATCCAGCAAGCTCTCACCCCCGACAGTAGAAATGACGATGTCTATTTCATACTCTCTCAAAATCTTTTCTATTAAGTTCTTGTTATTTATCACACCCTGTCGTAAATAAAATACATAATGAGAATGAATTTTCTTGTGTAAATTTTTCATACGACAAATTTGTGTAAAAAGATAAATATAAATGCATTAAATAGAGTCTTGCGATTTAGAATCCATTTATTTAAGAATAATGCTATTTTGAACAATTGATTTTCATAACATGTTTTACATAGATAACATATATAAGAAGAGAAATGTGAGAAAAACATGAGTGACGTGAGAGAAAAAAAAAAGAATTATAAAAGGTGTTATGAGAAAATATCATTAGAATAGTATTACTCTTTATTTAATGTCTTTATTTCTATCTTAATCATATAAAATATTCTTTGAAGAATGTCCTAGCTAAAAACAAAGATAAAGAAAAAAGTTGTGTTGATGCCCCGGTCAATAGGTCCATGATACACACAAAACGTGACAACATAATTACATTTCCTTTAAATAATTTAAAGTTTTAAATTTGCACAAGTAAAAAAATTGAATTTATATACATGCATCATCACGAATGGTATCTATCATTATCTCAACTCTTCGACATATAACAGAACCTAATAACAAAGAGTCACGTTACCATAAATATTATGCACCCAAAAGGAAATTTTTTGGACACCCACAAAAGTAAATGCTAATTTAGGGCACTAATTAATATTATTTATGAAATTTTTAACTAGTGTATTTGAATATCAAAAGTGAAACATATTATGACTTACATGAATGGTTATAGCACCTTTCTCTTGGAAAGTTTTAATAATGGCAGCTTTGGAAGGAGTGAAAGTTTGAGGGCGAAGAAGCAAATAGGTGGGGTGGGGTGTGGCAAGGCATGCCTCAGCCACAAACTTGCCTATGAAACCAGTTGCTCCAATGATTAGGACACGGCCATCAGTAGCGGTGGGAATGGCTAGTGATGCTGCCATGGTTAATTTTGCACTTGTTTAATTTCAGTTATACTTGAATTGAAGCCACTTATAGGAGGAGTTATGACAATTATAAGTGTGCGTTAGATTTATAGCTAGAAAAGGAACAGTTGTGGGTTGAGTTAAAAATATTTTTCAACAAATCTTCAACGTTTGACTCTTTACCGCTTACTAATGAGTTAAATGAACAAGGTTTCAATTTCATGATGCCAATTTTCATTTTTGAAGCTTAGGTACCACTGTTTCAGATAAGATTTATACAGTATGTATATACCTTTGCGAATGCAACTTCGTCCTATACGAAATATTTTCTTATACTTTAAATACTCTTGTACTTAATTTGAATTTTTTATTTTTTTATCTAACGGCTGATAAATTAATAAATTATAATTTATTAAATGTATATATATTAGGATTTGTATTTTATATATATATATATATATTGACTGATAGCTAGTTGCATCTTTCGTCCACAATGACACGAGAAACGGGAAAAAAAATGCATGATTAATTATTTTATAATCAACTGCTCATATTTTGTCTATGTTCAGGGTTGTTTGATGGCCAACATAAGATCACGATGGATATGATAAGATGGTAAGACAAGAGTATGATATAATAAAAATATGCAAATATGATAAAAAGAAGAATATAATATAAATGTATAGAAAATGATAAAATTATCTTATTTTTATATTCATTAAATTAAAATTTAATTTTTTTACTTTTTATAATTTATTTGTTTTTAATTACAGAAAATATAAATAATTTAAACTATTTTTTAATTTTAAAAATATATAAAAAAAAAGAAAGAGGAAGAAGAGAAAAATATTAGAATAAAAATATTATTTTAAGAAAGACAAGTGTTATTATTTTTTTATTCTTCCAACCTAGCTATATTTTAAAAATAATAATCATAAATAAAAAGATAGATTAATCTTATAATTATAGCTCAATAAACAATTGATTAAGAATAAATATAATAATTATTCTATCTTATTCACCTCTATTATGAATTTATAATCATCAAACTAGTCTTAAAATAAAAATCTTGCTTTTGCAATTTTTACTCCTTTTTTTTCATAATCTTACCGGAGGACCAGATTACAAATCACTGAAGTCTGGTATTATCAGGTTTTTTTTGTATGTCGACTTTCTTTTCTTTTCCTTTATTTTTCAGATTTGTTTCATTTTATCACTTTTCGTTTCATTCTCAATGTCAAAATAGTTTCAAAGACTTTAAAATAATAAAATTAAATTAAATATTTAGCGTCTTTACTTTAAATAATATATAAGTTTTGTTTTTTATTTTATTTTTTTAGGCTATGTTCATATACTTTTCGAAATTTTAAAAATAGTCTTTTAAATTTATCATAAATTTCACAAACATTTAAATAAAAGTAATAATTTGAGACTTTTAAATAATATAAAATTAATGAAAGGGATAGATTTACTTAATTTTAAAAGAAAACAAATATACTTATTTAAAAAGTTTAAAAATAAATTATGTACATTTAAGTTAATAGATAGGATAATAAAATTAAATAATAATATGACGTAAAAGAGAGAAAACCAAAGGTTAAAAACTGAACCTGGTCACGTCACCCTATTGCGCAGCTGATCTTTGACAGTGAGATAATCGCACAAAAATCGATGCTTTGACCACTTGAATTGTACGTCCACTTATTTAAGCTTTTATTAATGAAAATTTCCTATTAAAATAAATATATTTTAAAATTTATGATAAATCTATAATTTTTTAAGAAGCAATATCAATTTTTAATATATTTTATACTTGAAAATAATAAATTATAAGTTTATATAATAAATTATAAAAAACTAAACAAGTAGTTCCCTATACGTAAGCTTTTAATTTAGATTTAGATTAATTTCAAATTAACAAAATAAATTATCGAAATCTTTAAAGAAAATGAAAAAAAATTATAAAGTAGATAAATCGTTAGATATTCAAATTTTATGCCTTTAAATAAATAAATAAACATTATTTATATTAAAAAAGTATAGTAAAAATATTTTAATATAAATTTATTTATTTATTTATATATTTAAACGTATAAAAGTTTATTTGTCTACACCTTTTTCTTATTTCAACTAATTATTCAGATAAATTTCTAAAAAATGTTTAAATATAACAAAATGTATCCGCTCAATATTCAAACTTGCATTCCATTGGATGCAAGTCTAAAGTATCAAGTTCAAGGACATAAATTCTCTTTCATTTTAGCATAAAATAGATAATTTATCAAATAAAATTTTGTATTTTTATTTGTATAATTTTTTTATTTAAGTAAAAATGTAAAATTATCTGACTAGACGTCTAGTTCACAAAAAAAATTTGAGTCCTAAGTTCAAGCTATGTTTCTGTTGGATTTGTCGCAACTGAAGAATCGCAACGGTACGGCAAAAAACGTTTTCAAAATAGAGTTGTTACCAAAGTACCAAAGTTTATTTTAAGAAAATTTTGAAAAATTTTCTTAAAATAATATAATCTTTGAAATTAAAAATGAGTTCGAGAGTCGTTTACGTATGGGAAAGGTGTTAGCACCCTAACGTCCGTTTAGAGTGGTTACTTAAAATTAATTGTGCAAATTTATTTAAATTCTGAAAAATATTTATTTAATCCCTAAACATTAATTATTTTTATTTTAGAAGAAAAAATATTATTTATTGAGATATTGTTTGGGTTATTTTAAAAATTATTTTGACTTGACGGGTATGGTTCCTGCTCCTACACATCTCCGAATGCAATAGAGAACTCAAAGTCACGTAATTCTATCTAAAAAATTATGAGGTTGTTTAGTAAAGAAAATTCGTTTTGAGATTAAAATAATTTTCATAAAATCCTAATATTTAGGATACAAGATAATGCAATTATATATGTACCCTACGAGAAACAATATAAAAAGTGAAGGAAGATCACAAAACTATATTATAAATCATTAAAAAAATATTTTATTCGCAAATGAAGTATTTTGAATTTTAATTTTGATTATAATTAACGTTGAAAGAGCATTTAAGATAACATAAGTTGCACATAAATCTTTTATAATTTATTAAATAATTGAAGGTAATGTAAATTACACATTGATGTTGTAAAAAAATTGTATAAAAAAAGAAATGTTTAACTATTCAATTTATAAAAATAGAAGTATGACTTAAGAAATTTTAAAACATGAAATTAATCCTATTTGATGGATGGAGTAAATATATTTGAATTGTTAAAAAAATAAAATTATTTAATAAAAAGATTTAAACTTAGTTGGATAAATTTATGTTGTATAAAACTAAGATAACGTTGATACACATAAGTTTTAACAATTCACAATGCGTAAAGGTAGAGTCGCTACATATTAGCATTATAAATTATTGTATTAATAAAATAAAAATTATATTTAAATTGATTGATTAGCAAAATAGCAATTATAAGGAATACATTTAATTGATTATTAAGATGATTAAATTTTAGTAGCATATGATAAATTAATATTGCTCGAAGCCTCGGTAACAACGTAAGTACACATAGACTTTATTAATTTATAACATACGAACAGTAGAAAAGTACGCACTAATGTTCTAAATTAATATAAACCTGTATTACTATTTACTTATTAAATTGAGAACATTAATTATTTATCACCAAATATTATACAATACAATGAATAATAATAATGCCAAATAAAAAGATTAAAATGCAAAAATGATAAATAGTAAAATAAATAAATAAAGTAATACATATATATATATATATTAAGTCAATTATAATCATTATTTATTATTATTCTAGTTAAGATTACTTTAAAAAAATCAACAGATGAGTTAAACAGTAAAATATTGCATTTGATATAAGATGGATGAATATGAGCAAAATGAAATGTGATTTTGAAATTTGGGGCATTGTGCATTGCGGTGGTGTTAGATGAACAAAGGGAAAAGCCGCAACTTCCTGTTGCCGGTTCATTTATTTTTTTTTATTTTTTTTGGGGGAATAGTTCTATTCCGGCTAGCACTAGTTGAAGTTATATTACTGTTCTATAAATTTGGTTATGTTTTTTTTATGTTTTCTAAGTAAACCTGTTGGTAGGAAAGACTAAACAACTGCTACTATTATTTAAAGTGCAAATGTTTCATCAAAAAAAAAAAAGGTGACGTATAATATAAAAACATTTGATGTGATTTGATATCAAGATTGCAAGGGCGCATGGGCTATTGTATGCGTAGGTGAGGTGAAATGATGCTGACATCGAGCTTCATGCTTGCTTTACCTTTTTTCATTTTTTTTACTTATATAAATTTTTATAGTAAATAAACGAATAAAGTAAAGAAACAACAGCTAGTAAGTGTATAACTACATCAAATATCTCTTTTTACTTCGCTTTTTGCATCCACACACACAGAACAATTAAACTTTGCAGCGACAGATAGATGAGTCTTATGCTAAGAGGAGAAGGCAAACCTGGTCCAGGAGATAGCAAAATAACAGAAATGATGTTTCTCTTCTTCTTTTATTTCTTCTTCTATTTTTGTTTATTTTCTTTTACTCTCTTCTCATCTCCTCTCTCTCTCCCTCCCAAAAGCTCTCCTTTGAAAAATCTTTCACAGAAACTTGTTGCCTCTCCTTTGAAAATGTTTGAAAATTTTATCTTCTTGCTAAAATTTTTTTTGACTTTCTTTCTCTAAAAAAATCTCCCAACCGCATCTTTTTCTTCAGATTTTATATTAGGTTCATTTAAAATTTTTACAAAATGCCAAAATCTTGAATTTTTTCCTTTTTAATGCTCAAAATTAATTTTTGATTTTGGGTTATAAATCTGTGTAATTCAGGCTACTATTTTCAGAAAGCAAAATCGTTTTTTTTTTTCAAAAAATTTTCATTTTGCTATAAAACAATTTTTTTTATTTTTTTATTTTGTATTTATTTTGAAAGTAATTTCTTGGAGGCAAAAATTGATATTCACTGGTATTTACATGCTTAATATAATATACATCGTTAACTTTTATTAATGAAAACATATTTTAATACATTTTAAACATTTAATATTATATTATATTAAAATGAAACAAATAGTTGTGCCTGCTCATTAATTTATAGAGTTTATTTTAAATATTTAAAGAAATTAATTTAAATATATAATTTTATTAAAAATATTTTTTATAGAATATTTTTTGTTTTTAATAAAATATTACTAATTTACGTCCTTAAAATGAGTGCTCAAAACATATATTAACAAAATTAATTAATTTATTGTTTGATGTAAAATTAAGATTATATATTTATTTATTATTATTTTAATCTTAATTAAGCTAAGTTGAGCTAATAAATTGTATATCTATGTATTTTTCAAGTCAGGGTATAATTAGTTAGAATCAATTTATCACATTATGTATATGTTGTGAGTAAATGAATTTAGACACATAATTAATTATATTTAAAAAAATTTAAATTGAATAAAGTAACTTATTAAAGTTTTAAAAATGTTTAATTTTGAAAATATTCATAATAAGTGCAGATAATAGAATTCAATTTGTGACCTGGGACCTGGCCGAACAAACGTGGCATTTGGCATTTGGCATTTGTTCCCATGTATTATTATTATTATTATAGGTATTTTTATTATAAATAATTTTGTTTGAATCAATAAAATTATTATAAACGATAATTTTTTTAAAGAATATTTAATAAAATTATATTTATTAAAATTCAAATTCAGAAATAGATTAAATTAAAATATAATTATATTTATTATTGATCTCAGGTGCTTTTAGATTGGACTGAGCTTGCATTGGGCCGAAGACACCGTCGGCTATTAACACTCACTAAATATGATAGTTATCTTTTGTATCTCTCTTTCTCTTTTTAATGACATCGTGTTATTTGAAAAAACACTATTAATCATAATTCTTTGAATTGAGTTTAAAGTCTTAAAATTAAAATCTGTATTAAAAATAATATATTTATTACTTTAAATTTATAAAATTATGATATATTTTTTGATAAAGATTTATTACTTTTTAAATGCTTAAATTTAATCTAAAGGACTAAGGTTAATATTTTTTTCAAAAATTTATTGTTCAGATGCAAAAGTTAAATAATTTTGTTCCTCAACGTGTCCACAAGCTAGGGATGATTATAAAAAACTATCACAAGAAAGAGTTTAGGAGAGGGAGATGATTCATCTTAAATAGTGTTAAAGAAGAAAGTCAACTGAATATTAGGTATCACACTCAAAAATTGACATTAAAGTTTGTACCAATGGAGATACAAAGAGTTCATGCTGATTTGAGTTTAGATAAAGTTTTTACAAATTATATGGCTCATGGAATTATGCTAGCTCATGAAGGTATGGCTTTTTAAATATATGTAAAATATAAAAACATACATTTAAAAAAAAAATTATTGATCATAAAAATATTTATAAATGTATAATTATTGCTAATTATTAACAACATATTTAGTTTTTTAAAAATTAAACTGAAGGTTTATGTAATTTTTGTAGATTTGTTTTTGTTTTATTTTCTGAGTATTATTTGAATGGTTGGAAGTTTCAAAGAATGAGAGGGAAAGAGAATGAAGGCATAAAGCGAGACGTTTTTGAAATCTCCCTGACAGACACTTGAATTGCATCATCACCAACATCTTTCATATGGCTGGGTAAGTGTGTATCTCCCCTGCTTCAGTTTCAAACTATATTCAAGCATCATCAAGATTCAAGAACAACTTTAACTTGTTTCAAATGGTGTTGCTACTTTCATGAGAAAAGTCAAACCTTTTTTTGGGTTTTAATTGACTTTTTCTGACTTCGCATCGTCTCGTCTTTGTTCATTGTTTTATTTTTGAGAGAACTGCACGGAAGATCACCACCGTAAGCAATTGAAAGTTGAGATTTTTGTTCCAATATTCTTCACCTTTTTTTTTATAGTGAAATGCACCTTAAGAATAAATTGCTTTATTTGATATCCAATCATGGTAATTATTCTTTTTAACTTCAAGTTTAATTTGGATTTTTTTCTCTCTATAGTTTTATTATTTTGTGTTTTCTTTAAAATATAACTGAAATAATAGTCTGCTCCTTAATGTCACATAAGGTGATATTAACTAATTTCATCACATATAAATACTTCTTTTTGTAGTCGTAGCTGTTTGTATTTTGTAATGTATCATTTTCCTTTTCTTCTCACGGTTGATGTAATGTAACAGTAATACACCTTGAAAATCATCAAATTTTTTTTACGAAGAAGATATAGGAAAAAGAGGATATCAGAATTGTGCAGCATACAATCAATATAAATATACTAATTGTCAATGTATATTCTTTTTAGTCATTTTAGATCCCATAGCATCAATGGTATCATTGGATTGCAAGAGGGTATTTAAGCACTTACCATGGTTTTTACTTGGTAATATACCAGTAAACTTCCTGGAAAAGAAACTGTCATTTAAAGACCAAACAGGACCATATTTCATGGGCAGTTTCTTGCTGTTTTAATTTCCTGATCTTTGTCCATGGAGTTTGACACAAGACGCCATCTAGGGGACTGCAGTCATTATCCAAGTACACGGATCTCAAGAACACATTCGTGATCTCAAATGCTTGTCACTTGAGTGTCTGCATTTCTTCATTTTAACTGTGTTACTTGCCATATATCTGGAGTCACATAAATGTCCTAAGAGAGTATTGGCATTATTGAAGTTAAAAGTTGAAATTCATAATGAAATTAAGTTTGAAACTTCATCCTTTTGTCCCCAAGAATTGTGTTTTTTGTTATAGATGAACACTTGAAAAAATTCTGTTGCTAGGTAGCAGAAGAGTGGCCTGGACTACCTAAAGGCGTAAAGTTTGATCCATCTGATCAAGAAATAATATGGCACTTACTTGCAAAAGTTGGTGCAGGACATTCAAAACCTCACCCTTTCATTGATGAATTTATTACTACTCTTGAAGTGGATGATGGGATTTGTTATACTCATCCTCAATATTTACCAGGCGGATAGCATGACTTTTATTCAAAATTTAATCCTGGATTATTTTTTCAATCAATATAAATAGCTATATGATTAAAAATATTTAGGTGTCAAGCAAGATGGAAGGGCTTCCCACTTTTTCCACGGAACAATCAAGGCTTATAATACTGGCAGTCGAAAGCATCGAAAAATATATGATCAGGGTTTTGGTGATGTCCCCTGGCATAGGACGGACAGGACTAAACCTGTCAGCTTGAATGGAGTTCAAAAGGGTTGTAAAAAGATTATCGTCCTGTATGTAAGCCTGGTGAGTGGAGGAAAATCTGAGAAAACTAATTGGGTTATGTATCAATATCATCTAGGAACAGGAGAGGATGAAAAGTATGGAGTATGTATAGTCCTAGGACAAGAATTTTGTCATATTCCTCAGGTAAAACCTTCATTTGTATTTTTCTTAGCAAGTCTCTCTTTCCATTTATCATCTGCCACGAACATTTTTTTCTTGTGTCTTCTGCATTGTTTTAGGAAGAGAATGTAACCCTTCTTTTGCATTAGAACACCCCCCCCCCACACACACACACACACACACTTTTTTTCACTCTTTTAAGCATTTAATCTTTGACATGTCTTTTGCCAAGATGTCAAAGCCAAAATGCAGCTTGGCATTAATCTTATATAAAAGGTCCAGTTGTGATTCTCTCTCTGTGGCACCAAACATCTAATTTGTTCCCGTTAATGAATTAGACTAATATGATTGAAGGATGTGCTATGGTCTGGCATTTTCTTCAGAGTAGATATTTATTTGATGTAGTTCTTCTCCCAACAAATTCTTGCTTAGTTGTTCCACTGCTATGAAAAAATTTCATACACTTTTTATTGTTATTGGTTATTCATACTGACATGTTACTTGCTTGCTTAGCTAAGGTTCTTGATGTAATATTGTTTTAAGATAAATTCTGAATGACAATGATTTGAAAGTCTTATGAAACTAATTTTGATAGTTTCTACTTGTGAGAAATATATATATAAAAAAGAATAGCAACTATAGAAGTTGATAATTTTTGTTCTTCTCTTTTTGTCTTCTGCCCCATATTCTACCAAAGCATCCTCAGATGGATTGTCTAGCTGACATTCAGGCTGATTATGAAGATCTTGTAAAAGATGATCTATCGATTGTAGAAACTCAAAAGAATGAAGGGATAGACAACGTAGAAAATAATACTGATGAATACTTAAAATGGTGGGATAGTGGGTCACAGAATCTGTTGAGTTCACAACTTGTTGAAGCATTGTCTGTGTGATGATCTCCTTCAAAGTCAGTCTCCCAACAGGGATGAGGAAAATGGACATGACGAACGACCCAGTCTTTCTGTTTACGCCCACCTAGGACCCGAGCATCTCAAGAAAGATATTGAAGAGTGCCAAAATTTTGTCCTTGACACTGCAAATGTAGAGCCCAAGACACCATCTTCAGAGTTTCAACTAAGTCAGCTGATATTCCCATGTTCTCAATGATTTGGCATTACATTGAATTCATTTTTATTTTGTCACGGCCACTTAATTTTCTTGATTGGCAATGCACTTATTGTTTTTGTAGGAATTCAGTTCACAGGACAGCTTTATTTCCTGAGGTGGCAGCAAAGCAATCAACTAAAATGGTTCTTCACCTCAGATGGAAATTAAAGATTTTTGCAACATTTTTTGCTATTTGCATTTTAAGATCAGGGGTAAATTGAACCGTTACTCCTTTTGCTTGACTACTTTGGCTGTAATGGAAGGCTGTGAAGTTATGGTTTGATACCTTGACCAAACATGCTGTAATCAATGCTTCCTCTTGTTGTGGTGAAATTACAGTATGTTCCTTCCAGGTTCTCAGATCTTGGATGTGGACCTGACTTGCCCATATGTAGACAGACACACGTTTCTTAGTTCTCACTCTGAAAATAACAGATACATAAGTTTGTTACTTTTCTTACAACTTTTGAGGTATAATATCCCTATAGTCAAATGCGTTGTCTACCATAAACTCTGTTAAAATCATGTGTTATGTGGTGTCAGATTCTTGAACGTTAAGAGTGTTACAGTCTTACAAGTCATGCAACTTGGCTTGGCTTGTTAGAGCTACCCACGAACTAGCTTTCTTTTTCACGGGTAGCATTACTGCCTATTGGGAATGGAGGGTGCCCCGCAAGAGCATAGGTTGAAACCTTCTTAATCATTCTTTACAAACTGGCCAAGGCTTTGTATGAAGCGACAAAAGTGTCTTAAGACTAATGCTGGCTTTGCTGTTTTGACAAGATAAACTGAGGCTTGAACAACCTGGCTAATCTTCAAGTTGTTTTGACTTTGACCCAAGAAAAATAAAAATAAAAGGAATACTACTTTGGTTAGAGGAATGTGGATCAGAGCAAAATATGTGCCTCTGATGCCATGCTACTTGGGCTTGTTTGTTCTCTGATCCACAATATTATCCTAAACGCTTACATGGTGATGGATTTACATTTACTTTAACTATATTGGTTATAATTTAAATAACATATTTTTAAACACACACCTTATGTCTTTCCTTTGTCTTAACCTACCTCCTAATACAATTATAAAATCTAGAAACATTTGAAAATCCTTTTTTTAAGCTTTGGATTCCTTCATCTTAGTTTGTAACGTGTCATTCTAAAAGAGAGACAGCCACTATAATGGGTCATTGTATCAAGAAAATAGTGGGTCTTCTAAGATGAGACAACCCAAATCACAATGAATAATGTCCCTCACTCTAGATCAATCTTTCATGAGACAGCAGAAACTGACCATGGTCTCTTCATAATGTTCAGAAGTATCTGGCTATTTAGACCAAAGACAATGCTGGCTTTGCTGTTCTCCACAGACAAATGGGGGCCTGAACAACCTGCGTAATCTGGCTTTGACAATGACGAGCTGCAAAATTCAACTTGATTTGGCTCATGTGGCTAGTTCATTGGGAAAGACATCAGTCAATGCAATCATATTACCTGCTTTTGAGTGCGTGGAGCAAAATCCATTATTTTTCACATGTTGCACTACAGCTCTAACGTCTGAATTATATGTTTTGGTAGAATGGGTTAGTGTTTTTTTATGACTCGCAACATTGCATCATATATGTTGGCTATGACCTATGAAACTATAAAACTTGATTTTGATATGAACATTAAGCTGGTTTTTGCTATAGGTCCCAAACTTTCGGAAAAAAAATATCTTGAGCAATATTTTATATTAAAGGGGAAATAAATCTATTACCCAAGATTGTAATAACCTTCCTTTAACAAATCATTGTTATTATTCATCGATATGTTAATTGTTGGTGTCAGGCAGTAGTTGCACGGAATGTCATTAGTTAGGTGTCTGACTCATCAACACCCTGCAAAATTGTTGGTGTCTTGTTTAACAAAATATAACCCAACTTATGTTGAATAATTAACAGTGAACGCACAGTATTCTATACTCGCAAAAACATGTAACACTTTCTGCCATGCATTTTCTTCTTCCGACCTCTCCCTCCCCACTTTCAGGGCAAGTAAAATTTCTACATAAAATTTAAAAATCATTAAAAAATAGTTTAAATATATTTTAAAATTCTACATTTTTTGTGAAATTTTAGTTTCAGTACCTTCATTTTTATGCTTTAATTTTCTTTTTAAAAAATCAATATTTCTATTCTCTAGTGACTGTGATATATAAAGTCGATAAATGAAACTGTGTGTGTGTGTGTGTATATATATATGTGGAATTTATTAAACTGTGTGGAAGATTCATTCACTTTGAAATAGGATTATGGTAATTATGAAAGGATAAGAGGAAAAGGGAAAGAATAGAAAAAGAGGAGAAGGGGATGTATCAAAAATGGAAAAGAAACAAAGAGGGGACAATGCTGTGACTGAAAGAGAATCTAAGGTCAGTGGTGGGGTTTAGGATAAGGGAGGCGCACGTGGGTGCCGTAAGGCTCCATTTTCATCCAACCAAACACCCCACCATTCTCTATTGTTAATTTTTATCTTTACTCATCATGTAGTTTAATTTAATATATAATATAATGATACACTATTTTTTAATAATGTAAATTTTTATACTTATTTTTTTTATGTGCAATATTCGAATGGATAGTTCATAATCAATATTATGTTTGACCGTCAGATCCAGTAGGAGAAAAAGGAAGGAAAAAAGATTGAAAAAAAAGGGGGGTAGATTTTCAAGTTTTTAATTAAGAAAATAAAATTTTAAACTAATTTTTTCTTAATTGGTTAAATAATTTAAAAAATGAACAAATAATACTTTATTTTAAAAATTTTATCCTTGTAAATAATAAAATATTACTATTATCTCATTTTACACGAACAACAATATTCATTTATCTATAACTAATGACTCTAAACATTATTTATCTGTGGTTAATATTCATTCTTAAATTATTTACTAACTTCCATAATGTAAATATTATACATTTAATCAAATTGAAAACACTCACATGATATGTGCTATGACTCTTCCAAATTCAAATCATGCTTTTAAAAATTTAGTTTCATTTTTTAAAATTTTAAGAAATTTAAGAATGTTAATGATTTGGCATTTTCATCCATGAAAAAAAATTTCAACATATAATATATGAGAAACAGTTGAAAAAGAATAAAGCGTGGAAAATTGAAAAACAAATGTTAGCACCAAAGTTTTTTTAATAAATAAATTTTAGTGATTTTCATTATTTAGATTAAATTAATTCGTTAGTATTTTTTTCATTTTTAATTTAGTTCTCATAATTTAAAAACCTCTATTTAAGTCTTTATAATTTTATAATATGATAACTTGTTACAAATTTTTATGTTGTACGAGGATAATGATTTTTCTAAAAAATAAATAAATGCTACTATTTTTTTTTACATATATTTACCTTAAATTAGGCTAATCTTATGGAAGTGACCCATATGACAATTAAAATTAGAATTCGACGATTCAGAAGTCCCCGTAATAAAGAGATTTCGAACATTCAGGATTAAAAAATAATAACAATAAAAAGGATAATTTATTGTATCCGAATATAATTAATCTTGCACGACAAAGCATATTTAATATATATAAATTCCAAATAAATGATAGTTAAAAATTTATTTTTGTTTAAATTTAATCATTAAGACTTTTAAAATCACATATTTTAAATTTCTAAAAAAATAACTATTTTTTATTAAATATAATAACTAAAGATTAAATAAAACTAAAAAATAAAATAAGTCCATCAAGTCACGTGTGCATCCATTCATGTTTCAATTTCACAAATGTTACCCCAAGTGTACACGTGTTCGACAATGCCTCCATCCCTATCGTTTTGATTAAGTAAAATAATTGACAATATGTAGTTTTAAAATATTTTTCGTTTTTAATATAGCTTTAAATTCAATCATAGTACAACTTACTCTTTACATTTATAGAATTTGTATCTGTCTCAATCCTTTTAGTAACACAATTTTCAAATTTACAGAATTTATGTGAATTTATATTACGAAACAAATATAACAATTCAGCATATTTATTTATTCATTTATTTTTGTGTCGACAATCGCTTATTTTTACACTAGGGTTTTTTAGTCCACATTATATTTTTGGTCAGTATTGATCATCCTTAAAGATAAAAATAATTAGGGACATTGGTAACAGATGTAGGCCCATTCAAGTGGATACGTGGCGCATGTAAAAGTGGGCTATAACCCAATAATTCAGTGAGGCCCACACTTACACCCAGATTTTACCATAAACTCATGCTATTTCTTACTTGGTTCACCTTAAAGTGCGGTTATGGTGTTTTAAACACTTCTTCTTTCTTGTCACCAAAAGAAAGAATAAGAAAAAAACACTTCTTTTTCTTTTAATATTTTCCTTCTAGACTTCAAAAAACACCTTTTTTTTCTTGAGACCGGAAAAAGAAACACTTGGTTTGTTTTTTTAATACTTTGATTTGAAATTAGACTAAGTTGAATTGAAAATAATAGTAATCTCCATTAGAATAATTTAAGTTTCTAATGTTGTTAGGTAAAAGACAAGAGGATCCAATCACCCACTCCCATTTTCTTCAAGATCGGAAAACAAGACGATCCATGCACAGTTGCACACCAACCAAAGGTCTTTGTCTTACTTAATGTGTTGAACTCGATTTATATTTTTATTTTTATTCATTCCATTACCATTTAAAATTTAAAGACACTTTTTTATTGTGCTATCATTATAACAAATAATACAAAACTAATTAACAACAAGTCAATAATTGTCATTTTAAAAAAAGAGTCTTTTGAGCTTTCATTTATTATTAATATTACGCGTATGCACAGGCTTAAAATATGATGTTTAACATCTTGCATTAATTTTAATTTTAAAACAAATTACGATAAATTAAATTAATAGCATATAAGTGTTACGGCTTCTTTCCAATTTTTGCAGTAAAACATGGTACTATTTTTTTTTTTTGCACTGGAAAAACTTCTCGAATGTATATAAAGAATCATATATGCCTGAAAATGTTAATGAATATGTGTTTGTTAACTTTAAAAAGAAAAAAAGAGTAAAAAGGGAACTTTTAATCACGCTTTGAGTTCGAGCTGCAAACACTTTCTAGATAGTACCCTTTTGGGTGAAAGGAAAAAAAGGTAAGAGTCCATGAACCATGTAAAATGTTACAACTGTGCTAACACAGTTCCAATTTTAGAGTCATCAACAAAATCTTCACTTCAAATGATTAATGGGCCTACATCATGCGTCTAATTATTAATGCCACTTGCTATCTGTTAACTTAATCTTTTTACGCGGGGAGTTAAAAATGTATTTCTTTCAAAATATATTTTAAATTTATTAAAAATTATAAAAATATGAAAAAATGAAAAATTATATAATTTTTAATAATACCATTTTCTTATACAAAACTTATTTCCCCTCAAGTTCTTTTCTATTATTTTTTAATTTGAATTCACTTATTGTAGCTCGCCAGGGTAATCTTAACCAAAATTTTTCTCATGTTGTGTCCACTTTTTTCTCCTTAAAGTGAAAGGTTCATGCGAAAGAGATAAGCAGATAATGTAGATCTTTATTTTATTTTTTATATTTTGTTAAATTATTTGTTGAAAGGAAACTTGTGTCTAGACTAGTTTTAACGAATTAGATCTTAGCTACTCACCATGTCAGAAGATTCTTTCCCCGTTTCCATTTCTGTGGAAGGAATGTGACAGCACCATAAGAATATAGCAAATTAAAGCTCCCTCTAACGAAATTCATACTAAAACTTGAAGACCACTTAAGATGGGATCTTCTGAGTCATATATATTCTGAATCAGACCTACTCATCAAACTTAACATCAGAGTATGCGCATATAAGATCAAAATACTTTATCTACGCTTGGATATATATCTTGTCTCAGATTCTGAATGTACACAAGCTATCAATAAAGTAACTTATTTATATGCTTTTATTTTTCCAAAAAAATATGTATTTTCTCCATGAATCTGGCAGTTATTATTGTAAGTGTATATATATATATATAGAGAGAGAGAGAGAGAGAGAGAGAGAACAATATAAGAAGCATTTCAATTGCTTTGTAGGACATGGGCCTGATGACTGTTTATTGTCAATCAGTGCAGCAAAGAACGAAATGAAAGGAGAAATCAAAAGGAAGCCATAAGAACATAATAAAATGAACAGTAAAATGAACTAAAAATATATAATATAATTGAAAATGTTATAAATAATTCACTGTTATTTCTGATGTACATAAAGCCCAGCCATATATGTGCACATATAGGCTAGCAACCCATACAAAAAATTGTTACTCTCCCCATAATATGCATCCGTTAGCTATTTACACTCCACCATGAATCAAAGAAAGAAACAAGAAGGAAAATAAAAAAAGAAGAAATAGAACCATTCTTGTTCTATTGGCATATAAGAAAGCAAGCATGGACTCGGAAGGCCTCAACTTCTAGTCATGCCAACAAAGAAGCATGACCACACACCTTCTTATGATGTAAAGCCTAGCCCTTTGCTCCCTAATCACTCCTCCAAGCCCTCTACTTGATACCCTTCTCTTTGAGCCTCCAATAGTAGGACTACCCATCTTCATTTCTAGAGTAAACAAGCTTTCTTTGTTGGAACTCTTAGAAATGAAAATGGGATTTTTTTTCTTGTGTGTTTTTTAACCCTTTGTTGAGCTTAAGCTAAAGGCTGTGAGGTAGTGTTGTGTGTGACTTGGTTTAAGATAGGTGAGAGATGGGGTTCTTATAGAAGTTGGAGGAAGTGGTCCAATATTACATTGGTCTAGTAAAGAGGCACCGATGGGGCATGAAAGGGCGTGAAGTGCCTCCAAACCCACCAGACAAACAGCAATTGGACCCCACCTTACCTTATAGGAATCCTTACCCCATTAAACGGGAATTGATAAAAACAAGCCAAGCAATTCAGCGGAACCTCTCTTTCTTGCATTGCTATGTCACACTCTATAATCCTATGTGTAGGCACCACCCACCAACATAATGGGTCTCCCATCTCAACTATGTGGTAGCATTTTTTTTATAAGTTTATATATAAGCTGCCCTTATTTTGTGCATGATAGATGAGTTTCTGGTTGCCCATGAGGACAAAACTCGAAAAGCCTTCTCTTTTCTTATGATACCTTTTTTATTTTGTTGTTTCTCTCTATCTTTCGTTTGATCCACATAATCAGGGAAATGACTGATGGATTGGTGGGGGGTTGGGTTTGTTGAATCCTACATAAGAATTCGTAACAACAACCATTAGAAAGGTTTTTGATCATAATGGACTAGCTTATTACTACCTTGACTTGATATAGAAAAGGTGCACATAATTAGGGCCCCAGCTATCAACATCAGAATTTGCATTCCCACGGGTTATATCGCGCTTATCTAATGCTAAACCGGTTGGGTATTAGTTTAAACTTTTGCTTACACAAAAAAATTAGATATTTAAGTTTTGTTTATTTATTTAAACAAATAAAATTTATCACTTGAATGTTTTGTTATATATATATATATAAATAAGAGAAAGATATTTTTACATCAATATAAATCTAAAAACTCTTATATCTAATTTAAATTTTTTATTTAACTTAAATCTAACAGTCAGTAAAGTAATAAATTATAACCTATTAAATTTAAGTTAAATAAAAGGTTTAGATTGAATGTAAAATTTTTTATATTTATATTAGAATAAAAAAATCTTATCTCATATATATATATATATATAATATCCTTAAAATATGAAATAAAATAAAAAGAGCAAGAAAATAAACAATATCTAAAGTTGATCTTTTTCATTATCATGTATACACATAGATTATTCATGAGTCTTTATCGTTAAATTGATGATGTTTGAGTATAACTCATTCCTATGATTGAGTCATGATTAAAATCAAACTTATGTAATTTATTAACAACTCAATTCATTTATCCTTTTAATACTATACAGTTTAGAAATTATCGCAAGTCTCACTCACCAACAGAAATTAGTGAACATTATCCCATTATAATGAAAACTTCAATTTCATTGGCTTGAGGAGAAGTAAGGTTTAATAAATTATAATATTACAGATGAAAGACAGGTTTCGATACATGATTTGAAACTCGCTTAAGACCAAAATCTAAAATTTCCAAGTAAGATGATTCAAAGATTTGGCCTCTCTTTTGATTACATATGTACACTATTTTAATTATTTGGCCTCACTGAATTATTAGATAGGAGATTTTTCTGAGATCAGTTTAAAATCTATAGGCAAAAGCTGCATAATGGATATTCAAGCCCACTGAATATTAGAATATATTACAGGGTTCTGACAGCTTTGGAGGAGACAAATAGAATATAGAAGCAGTAATGAGATATTTGCATGAGCTAAGGCAAAAATACAAGATTCTTACACATGGTGATAGGCTAGAATTTTCCGTCCCTTCACACTTTGTTTTGTTTCTCCTCACAGAAAAACCAAAATATTATTGGAAACAAGATAAAAAAATCCAAATAAAATACTGGTTAGTATCTCTTGTCCTAGAACTTCTATAAAATAAGCTAAAGTGGCTTTTGCATAAGCCTGACAGTATCTTGCAAATATAATGAATCAAAAGGGGGAAAGTTATTTTTTCTTATGCAACATCATAGATGCCTAAGAAAAGTAGCCAAGGACGTAAGTTTCAAGCTTTTGACTATAATTCCATAAGAAGGGACACCATTTTATTTAAGAGTGAGAAAATCCTACGATTAGAAGATTAATTAATTTATGGACTTTATTAACGTGTGTTAACCTTAATTTAATCATTGATCACAAATGATCATCCACTTGCTCTACCTCGTGCTCTTCCTCAAGTCACTTAGGATGCCAACCTTTTTCCAACGGCATGTTCTAATAATAATAATCTTATTAATCTCTTTTCTTCACTTCAGTTTTCATGCAATTTTAAGCACTTAAATATTGAATTACGCGCTTGTCAGCATTTGTTGCTTCTACCAAGCTTCTTCTTGTACAAAATTAGGCTTCGTCGGGTGAGAGTATGTGTTTAGATTAATCTGTCCAATTTCGTATCTTTCATTCTAAATAAACACTATATATCTAAATTCAACTAAGCTATCGATAAATTTAATTGTTTAACTTATCTTTCCTTATTTAGCATTTTATAGAACATTTTATTTTATGTTTCGTCGTCTCTCGCGTTTTGAGAAATAAGTACAGAATTTACGTATAATGTTCTCCCTTGATAAACTCCCATGTTACTCCTGCATTTTGCATAATGTTTCAAATTAGTCTTTAAATTTTAGAATAAATTGTTCTTCCTTCTCTCCATCTTGTTGATTTGACACAAAATTCCCCTTTATCTTAAAATCTGCACAAATATCCCTAAACACTTACAAAATGTGTGTACGATCCCGTCTCAAACTTGAAGATCTTCATATCATTTTACAAATGTCCCATGTCTAAGGGAATATTTTCAAGTAGAAACAAACAGTGAGTTTGGTGAAGTATAAGTGACAAGGGGACTCATTTATCCTCGATTTTATAAGGACGAGGCAATTTTTTCTTGTGTATTTTTACTTTGACACGTAATGAACTCAAGAAATTTTCTATGCACAAGATTAGTAAAATTCAAATAAGATCACTTTGCTTAAATGTCATAAGAAGAGCAATCGAAAACCAAATTGTGGTATTTTAATTTAATTGCAACTATGAGCATTTAAGCAACCTTACCTGCATATTGAATAATGACATTTTTCAGATAACTTCAGCTTTTAAGAGAACTGATTATTTGAAAACAGTAGATGTGCCTATTGGATTTGGACCCTCACATAAAAATACAAAACTTTCAAATCCTATTTAATTATTGTATTCACTTGAACCATCGGTTCACTATGTGAAAGCGTGAAACAAAGTGAAACTGTGAAAACTTAATAATGTCAGAAATGCTTGGTGACCAAAGTGAAAGTGGTCCAACCATGCTATATATGAAATTAAAAAGAAAAAAACTGGTCGGTTGTACTGAACAAGGAGGTCAGAGTCACACGTGAAGTTCTCGTGATTCACAATACCATTGCCTGCGGTATAATCAACATACACAGTAATTTAATTTTTATATGTACTTTCAGCCTTTGAGGCTTGGAGCTACAAACCCATTTCCATCCCTCTTCCTTATGCTTGTTTCTTAAGGAACAAACTCACCACATGTTCCTTCCTTCACTCTCTTCCCAAATACCCTTTTGTGTTGATTTTATTAGGCAGTTTTGGCTGTCCTCTCTTACCACTTAGCACCATATAACAAATGGGAATGCAATTTTCTTGATAGAAAACTTGTTTCTATGTGCAATACCACACAGCGTGGCTTACTAGTTAAGTAATAAATACAGCTTTGCTTGTGTACGGACATAATACTAGCGCGTTAAGTATATGTTGCCAAGTGCTAATTTACTGCCTACACAGCATGGTTCATAGCTGTTGTGTAACAATGACATGTTACTCTGTTACCAATTGCTCTAACAATGTATATGCAACTTTAGAACTCAAAGCACAGATAATTCATGAGAATTCTTGCAAACATAATGAGATTGACAGTCACAAGTTTTTTTTTTTTTTCGGAAATTAAGGGTGCATTTAAAAATTCAGCTTAATTAAGTATTTGTTTCATACGAAGAATTATATTATAAATTTGATTACAAAATAAGTTTGAAAAAAATTATAAGAATACAAGAATAACAGTTGGCAATAAATTGTTATTCCTCAGTCATGATAAAAAAAAAAGTAGTCAACTTTTGCAGATCCAGAGTAGGATCCAATCTTCGAGTAAAACGGTAACCCATAGAAAATCTCTAGTAGTTACCATCTTCACTCAATCAAGTCCTAATTAAATAAGATATATATAAAAGATTAAAGTGAGAAGTTACAAGGTCTTTTCATGCTCTCTAAAGTCTAAGGGCAACAATGAGTTTTCTTTCATGATGGGATAACAGCTGGCCAAAAAAAAAAGGTGTCATTCTAAGATGATATTATGTTAGTATCACGATTTCCGTCGTTCAACACCTTGTCAAAATATCTTCATAAAGCAGGTATACACGTGCGGTCCAAAGATTCCAGTAACATCTCCATCGGACTCGGTTTATTTTTTTCTTTTCATACTGAAGTGTTCTATCTCATCAAGATAATTAGTTCTCACGTGTACCATAATTATTTACAATCTTCATTCCTCAGTGGGATCCATCTGCTCCACTACAGGCTTTTTCTGCTTTGATTGAAGAGCACATCCACATTCTCATTCAAGGTTTTTATTATTTCTTTATGAAGTTTTAGCATTTCTCTATGCACTCTTGTTCTTGGGCTCAAATTTCTACAAAAATTTTAAAAAAATAACTTATCACCTTGACGATAAATGCTGAAGAAAAAGCTATTTCAGAGTTCAGAATAGAGCTCAGACAATAATCTCAGTTCATTAATCCACCAATCTTTTTGTATTCCTGAGTTTGTCATTACGTATTTGCCTAATAACTCACACGACACCTTTCTCATAGTTCTGCTGAATTGTACGTAAGACCTGCAGTTTTAGCTTTTACATGAATGATTATATTAAATATTAAAAGGACCACAAGTAGACCCTACAATTTTTTCTCATACATTTGTACCACAGTACATAATAGACCTATAAGAAAATGGCATAATTATAAACACTTGGAAACTCCGCCTTGATCAATCAGTGTAAATATTTTCACTACAGAGTGTTGGTGAAAACCAAGTAACTCAAGTTAATTGAAGCTAGTTTAGTTCCTGTATATAATTAATTAAATGATGGAATCATTGCAGCTAGCAGTTAAGAATGTGTGAGCTCAAGATAGCCAAGAAATATATTGACAAGTTTTAAGGGTAAAGCTTGTATATGCAATATTTTTGCTGAGATAGCACAAATATGTAAGAAGGATTATAATATTACTAGCACCAAAGATATTGAACCTGTCAGGGAAATTCATCTGTTTATGACAGGAAAACCATTATCAACAGAAAAAGTTAACATCATTGGTATGAATGAGAAAGGGAGCTATTTCTATGTCGTTTGTACTTAAACATACAAACTAAATCATTATTCCCTGAACCCTAAAACCCATAGAAAGAAAGCTCTATTCAGAATTTCTGAATCAGACACAGAAGAATGCACAAAACGCAAAATCGCCGTTGCCGGGGATCGAACCCGGGTCACCCGCGTGACAGGCGGGAATACTCACCACTATACTACAACGACTTTGTTGAAATTAATCTCAAAAATATTGTTTATATAGTATATAAAAAGAGAAGTCTGGACTATAAAAATTATTAAATAAATAAAAATGAAAATGAAAATTCATATTTAAGCATGTTGCTCCTCGTTCATAACACTTCCTTTTGGAGAAGTATGGGGATTTAGGGAAGTTAACAATATGTTTTATATGGAAAATAAATAAATATTTTATTTTTAAAAAACGCTGAATTTTAATTTTGTATCAAGGACAGGTTATGGGAAATCAAGAAAACTAGTGAAGATTTTTCCCCACATTCTTTTAATTCAATTTTATTTATATTTTCTAAAAAACCAAGTACACCTTAATTCAGGCATATATAAAAATGAACAAATAACCCAAAAAAATTAAATAATAAATTTTAAAACAAAATTATATTTGTAATAAAATATGTTATTCCAATTTTATAACCGAATTATTTGTATAATTTAAATCATCGACTCAATATATTAATGATAAGAAATGAAAGTGAAATCCTAAATGTATAGCATGTGTATATTGCAATTTTGACTACAAAAAAAGGAAGAAACGTGAAGTGAGTAGTTTTATGAATAAGGATTTGATCTTTAGCATATGGTTTTCTTGATTGCCATGCTTTTTTTCTGGGTCAACCTCAATTTTGTGATTCCTCGTTGTCATGCTCTGAATTTTTATTTACTTTGGGCTTTGAAGCATGTATCTGTGCCCAAGAGTCCAAGATGACAGACAGTGATCCAGTTTACAATGTTACAACCTCGCAACTCAATTAGGCTTAGGGTTCAAGTTTAACTCGTGCTAAGAGATTAAAAAACATTGATAAATAAGAATATTTTCACGTTGTTGTATGGACCCAATTTTTGTTAAATATTATATATATAAAAAATCATATTACAGTGATATGTTTTCATTTTTATTCGTTTTAATCTTTTAAAATTTTTGGGCTAATACTTTTCTCATCATTATGTTATTTAATATTATAAATTGTGCCTCAAATTAATGTATTCTTAGTTAGAGTTTTTTCTTTTACATTCTTTCCTTCTTGGTAGCACTCAAGTATCTTGTTCTTACTATGTAAGTCCTAAAACACTATAAATGCCTCTCAACAATAGTGTTCCGAATTAGGTGATGCAAACTTTATTCAGATATAAATGAAGGTAAATGTTTCTATAGTATGTGAAAGTGCAACTTTATGGCGCTTGTATGACTTATTTGTTAATTAGAGTCGTTTGATAATGATGGAGTCTTAAGTTAAGGGCCTTTTTGAGTGTGGAGTTTAGTTTTTTAAAAAATGAGGATGAAAGTTGGTGATTTAACAAAGTCTGACAATCAATTTATGTATTGTGTGATGATTGAAATAAGATCTGCTATATGAAATTTGACGAGGAGAGTAGTCATGTGACAAACACTACCAAGAATGGAAAACATGATGGTTTAAGGTTGTAGAAGGGATTAAGTACCGACACAGATAGAAAAGGTAGAAAAGAAACAGAAAACATAAAAAAAAGAAACCTTAGTCAAAATGTCAACGTCTTGGGAATCAATTAATAGTGTTAAACGTACACTTCAAGTTAGAAGAGATGAGTATCAATGCGAAAAACAATAAAACAAGAAACTACATTAAAAGATTAAAAACGAAAATAGAGTTAATGAAATAAATCAACACTTAAATTAAACTTATAATGTAAAAATATTAATTTTACGCGCTACTATACCAAATTGGGTTTCAATAAAAATCTTAATAATAACAATGTTTTCAACAGACTACCGTTATTAAATAGTAGAAACATAAATTAAATTCATGACTGATAGCATAACATGATTTATCTCAAGGTGTTTGAATATGGTGCGAATTTTAACGTTTTTCTGCAAGTGGTTTGTACACTTTAATTCTTAAAATATGTAGAGAAGTTTTTTGTAGAAAAAAAAACAATATAAAACATAAATAACTTTTTTATACATTAAAAATATATATTTTTTAATTTTAGAGAAGATAAATTAGGGAACTTCTCAGAAATTCTAAAAAATAGAAAAATACAAGTTATTTTTAACTTAATCTAAAAAATTTATAATCTTTTATATTTATTTTTATAAGAACTTTAAAAAAAATTACTCAAACTAGACCTTAATTAATAGATTAATATGTATCAATTAGTAAAACATGTTCTAAGCATTTACTACCTCTCAAATGTAATAATCAGTACGAAGGATAGACTTTTAAAATTGAACTGGAAAATGATTCATCGCGTTGAGCACAAATTTACGTTAATCACATGTCCTCGTCGTCAAATGAAAGCAACGAATGTTAGAGATATTCGGTTTTAACTTTTATTAAATTAAGATGTTTGCTTCAATTTTATTTTCGCATTAAATAAAAAACTTTTTTTTTCATGTATGTAAATCTCCCCAATCTTTCTATTATTAAGAAAGTAAGACTCTTTATAAGACGTGTCTGTCTATTTTCATTTTTTTTATTTTTGCTGTGCATTTGTATGGGTGTATTTATTTAAAATAACAAATGCACATTTTTATTTAATATTTATTTTATAAAATAATAAAAATAATAAAAAATATATTTTAAAAAAATTTAGGACGTATAAAAAGTGATTTATATAGAAATATTTGTTTTATTAAAATTAAAAAAACTTTTTAATGGGTAAAATGCAACACCTACCCTTCCCTAAATATTATGATGTATTGCAATGTTGGTGGGTTGACTAGCAACAGCATGGGGTGAGTGGGTACCACGTCTTTTGCAACACAAATTCAGAATCCCCGTTTCACCCAATTTCAGTCTCTGACTCAGATATAACAAAAATTCAGAACCCAACGTTTCCCAACTTTAGAATAACACTTTTCATTTCTTTTCTTATGTGACCCAACAGTTTTCGTTCTACCAAGGGTGAGCATTGCAGCACTTACCTTCACGTTCACATTTGTATTTATAAAATTTCATAAATAAACATTTATACCTCAACCTAAACTTATTCGATGACTAAAAACATTATTAATGTAAATGACTTTTATGAAAAATTATTAATCTAAGAATTTAAATCAATAGTTTGTATTATTTTTATGTGACATTGATTAATTTCCGGTTCTTGATAAATTGATTCTCAACGACAAACCAAGCAGAGCCGGGCCTACATATTAAATTATAAAAAAAATACTAAGTATGATATATTAGATACTTTAAATTATTATAAAAGTATATATTCAATGTTTTTATATTTTTAAAATAATAAATATAAGAAGTTATATTTTAAATTCTTAACATGTTGGTTTTAGTACACGTTAAAAAAACTGTAAAAATAATTTAGGAATGCATCTTTTGATTCCATGTGATATAAAATATGAAACTCCCCTTGGATGCTTGCCATTCCTTGTTAGAGTGCTCCCACACCTGAGGACTTATTTTTGGGTGTCCCACAATTAGAAAATTTATTGTCAGTCCACAACATCCTCTAACTACTATTTTCTGTATGTTTGTTGTCATAAACGATCATATATATATATATATATATATATATATTTAAATTTATTTTACATAATATTATATGAGCAATATAAACAGATAAAAAAAAAAAGAAAAGAAAATCGCCGATATAAAGCATGATTAACGAGATACATATGATAAGTTGAGTAGTTTTTCCTTTTTAATTTTACCACCAATTGTAACTATTACTTTCTTATTTTATATTTATTTTAGAAGAGATAAATCCAACTTAAAGATGTTATCTATTTAATTGTGATTTTCCCTAATATGCAGTTGGTCTTTATCTAGTAACAACCCAAGCAGGGTACTTAGTTGTTAGTTATTGCCTGTCCCTCTCCAATCCAATCAATATTTTATTGCTTTAGTGGTTAATAAATAGGAGTAGAGTTTACAAAAGAAGGTAGAGGAAAAAGTGAAGCATATTCCACAGTAACCATACTTGATGACTTTCTAGGTAAAAGAGAAGGTTGGGCACATTAATAGATTACTAATTCCCTGACTTTCTACTAAATTATGGGGCAAAAGAGATAATTTACGGAGGACAAAACACCCAAATCCTGGGAGGACGAATTTAAACCTAAAAAACTTGTTTATGGATTAGTAGACATGTACAACTATGAATTTTTAATAATATTTGATTCAGAATTATTTAAAAAATGTTTGAAAGAGAGTGGTTAATAAGATTTGATTTGGAATGGGAATGCATACCTGCTATGGTTGAATTGAAGGTGGTTCTGCCGCTAATCTCGGCTGTTTCCCTCCTTTTCTTGTCTTTAAGATTGATTAATATGTCGTCACAAACCACACTGGGACTCTCACTCCAAGAAACACCATGAATCTACCCCACTCCTTCTTCCTCGTTTTCTTCGTCTTCAACAGCATCACAATCACCACATCAACAACTCCACCATACCCCTACGGTAAGAACTTCGCCTCCAAACTAACAGTAACAGTAACACTTGCGATTAACACAATCACACTCCACAGGTTTCTCCAACCACATCAACTGCGGCACCTCCACCAACTCCACAGACCCCTTCAACACCACATGGCTCTCCGACCGCTTCTTCACAGCCGGCACCTCCGCCATCGTATCCGAACCCCTCCGCTTCCGTCTCCCCTCTGAAAAAACTCTCCGCTTCTTCCCGCCATCTTCCTTCGGCAAGAAAAACTGCTACTCCTTCCCCTCTCTCCCCTCCGGCCGCTACCTCCTCCGCACATTCACCGTCTACGACAATTACGACGCCAAGTCACGCCCTCCTTCCTTCGACGTCGCCCTCTCCGCCACCGTACTCTTCAGTTGGCGTTCCCCCTGGCCCGAGTCCACCGCCCGCGACGGCGCTTACTCCGATCTCTTCGCATTTGTTCTTAATACCTCCTCCACCACCACCACCGCCACCACCGATCTCTGCTTCTACGGCTTCGCCACCGACGCCCCTATCGTCTCCTCCGTCGAGCTCGTCCAAGTCGATCCCGCCTCCTACGACTCCTCCACCACTGGCCACAAACTCGCCCTCGTCAACTACGGCCGGCTTTCCTGCGGCTCTGACTACCACTGGGGCCCCGGCGTCACCAACGACACCGACCGCTTCGGCCGCTCCTGGCAGCCCGACGCCCCCTTCCGAAACCTACCGGAGGACTCCAACATTGTCCACGTCCTGTCAACGGAGAACTCCATCGCCGGCGCCAACGAAGAGCCTAATTACTTTCCGATGAAGGTGTACCAGTCGTCGGTTACGACGGAGGGCGCGTTGGGGTACGAATTGGAAGTGGACGCGAAGATGGACTATACGGTGTGGTTGCACTTTGCGGAGATTGATTCGACCGTGAAGAGAGCGGGGGAGAGAGTCTTCGACGTGTTGATCAACGGCAACAACGTTACCAGAGTTGATATATTCAAGGAAGTGGGTGGTTTCGCCGCGTTTACTTTGCATTACACCGTCAAGAACCTTAGCACCAACGTGTTGAGCCTCAAGCTCGTTCCTGTTGTTGGTGCCCCTCTCATTAGTGCCATTGAGAATTACGCATTGGTTCCCAATGATCCTTCCACTCACCCTCTCCAAGGTCTTAATCTCTATCCCTAAACATAATGCTATGAAGTTGTGAATTGTAACAGTGTATGTTACTTATGTTGAGTGTTTGTAGTGAGTGCTATGAAGGCGTTGAAGGAGTCGCTTCGTGTTCCTAGTAGAATGGGTTGGAATGGTGATCCTTGTGCTCCTACTACTTGGGATGCTTGGGAGGGTGTTACCTGCCGCATGAGTAACGATAAAACTTCTCTTGTCATTAGTGAAATGTAACTTTTCCCTCCACAGCTACATATTTTACTATACTATACTCTTCTCATAATGTGCTGTGTGCAATAACCGGTTTTGCTTTGTGTTTTGTTTCAGAGATCTTGGCAGTCAGGGATTGAAAGGGTACATAAGTGACCAAATTAGTTTTTTGTCCGACTTGGTTCGCCTGTAAGTATCAGCTGTCAAATGCTGTTGAGGTTCGCATTGTACTAACATCCATCCTTGTCTTTTCTATTTTGAACATTATGTCCATCCGTTTTCCTAATGATCAGCTTTGGTTCTGTACTTCCAACCCAACTTTTCTTTCATTTTGGTGCCCGCACAGTATTTTTGTTCTGATCTGTTAAATCATGTAGATAGAAACATCATGAACTGTAGCACCTGCTCTGCATTCTGTAGCATGTGGCATGTGTTTTCCTAGATTAACTGTTCTCTCAAGTTCAAATTGGTTTTGTTTATCTTTACTTTTACAGGAATTTGAGTTCTAATTCCTTGGAGGGTGAAATACCGCCAGGACTTGGTCAAGAATCCCTGGTACAAGTGTAAGATCAGATATTATCTCTGTTAGTTACCGTTACTCGCAGAGCTGTTATTACTTTTTACATGTTATTGTAATGTTTTACAGAACTCAGCTGCATGAAGTTTTTATTTTATTATATTTGATCAACTGTTTCCTACATTTTTACCCATTAAAGGGTAATACAGTGAATACGGGTATATATCTAGTGTTTATGTATTTTTCTTGCACAGTTTTTTGTATCTTCCATATGAAAAATAATATAACTAAACCTTGAAGTGTGGCTCAATTTGTAAACTACTGAACTCCATCTGCAGACCGGAAGCATTTTGTTATTACCAAACATAAAATGTAAGTTATTTATTTGAAAATTGAAATTCTAATAATTTATTTACAATGTTTTCTGTAGGGATTTATCCAACAATCAGTTAATGGGATCCATACCAGATAGTCTAGCATCTTCGAATTTGAAACTTGTGTAAGTATCCAGTGCATTGATTAATGTGTCTGTCTTTATTTACAAAGAACCTATTCTATTATCCTGGTTTTTCCTTTTGCGGTTTTGCAAGATGTATTGTCCGTCCCCTAATTTTAGCAATTATTTTCTCTCCAGTTAAATATCATTTTCTGTCTAAAATGGGGATGTGCTTTTATGTAAAATACGTCATTATTGTTATGTGAAGTTTTGTAATTTGATTTCAAATCTTCTTTACTGATCATTCTGGTTTCTTAGTGCTCATTTTGACAGCCTTATTATTTCCCTTGATGTTAGGATTGAAGACAATAGATAACTACTGACCTCTGTTGTAGTGTTAAATAGATCTCCCTTTACTTCTCTTGACAATTTATGCTACGTAACTTTAATTTGTTTTTCTAACCCATTTATTCATTTTAGGCTATTGAATGGTAACTTATTGGAAGGACGAGTGCCAGAGCAACTTTATTCGGTTGGTGTGCACGGTGGAGTAATTGAGTATGACACTTCAATCTGCTAGCTCTACTCTATATTGTTCTGCATAATGTCGTGTTCAGATTGAAATCTTGAATTACTTGGCTTGAATGTATGATTCTCCCTATTCAGTTTATTGTTGTCTGTGTCTGTCCATTTTTCCTCCTCTTTCTGTCACTTTGGCGGGAGAGTGTGTGCCTAAAACTGCCACACTCGGCCCATCATGGCTAATCACCTGTTCTCTAATTTCTGTCTGCATAATTTTCGTGTCTAGCTTAATAATTCTGGAAAGCGGAAGTAAATTTGATTTACCAAGTCTTCTCCACCATGACTTGCCCTCAATCTCTTAAAAGGAATAACTAAATTAAGTCACCCACGGTAGTTTTACTTGTTCTGCTGCACTTATTTGTTTTGCTGGAATACAAGCAAAACTGTCAGTTTTGCATGGATGTTCCGGCCAAGATTTTGTCTGTCTGAGTAATTAAACAACAGTTGTTGTTATCTAACCTGCTTGAGTTGCAAAATATGCAAAAGGAAATTTATGCTTGTATTTATTATAAGTCTAGTTATCTTGTAATTGTATTATCCAACGAGAAATAATCTCTTTTCTGTATTCAATTCGATTTGTTTTCATTCAGTCTGTCTGGCAACAAGGGGTTGTGTGGTGTACCATCTCTACCTTCATGTCCTATGTTTTGGGAGCATGGCAGATTATCGACTCGGGGTAAAATTGCAATAGGCATGTCATGTCTTTTTGTTTTCTTTGTGGCACTGCTGGTGGCATATATCTACATCAGGAAGAAAAGGAACGGTTATGACTTTGGTCTGCCTCATGAACTAATGGGTAAGTATGATTTCAATGCGATTCTGTGTTTGTCAATAATTTTTATATATAAAACTCATGCTAATGAGTATTGTGTTAATGTTCTGGGGCTAAACGTGATGTTGCTTTATTTGCTTTATCGGTGTAGTAGCGTGCTCTTTTCTGTTTCTCCTGAACTTCATACAAAATTACAAATATACTTTAATAACTGGTTTTGTGCCGTATTTACATTTGTTTTTCTTCTAATGGTTAAAATTTCCATAATTTCTAACTTCCCATCATGAGCATTGAAGAAATCCTTCATAAATCTGATATCATTAATCCTGATATATGTATCATTCTAGTCTTCATTTGTTCTATTATTTGCTGAAGGTGGCAAAATAACTCGATTGTGCAGGCGCAAGCTTAATAGGAATTTGTAAACTAGAGTAAAAATTGGAATCATGTACCATATCTTTATCTAATCATTATTTTGTTCTATGAATAACTACCATTTTACAGCTCAAACTGGGGTTGGGACGTTGGGTCAAATGAAGCGGGAGCCATTTAATTTAAAGACTATCAACCCTTTTTACAGTGGCCTTGTAAATAGTTCCTGCCATAATTTTTGGTTTTGTCTTTCGTGGAAATTGATCTCTCTCGTGTTGAATTTCCTATCTAGCATTGAACGTTAACTTTGAGCCGCATAAATTCGACCTAATAAATGGGATATTTGGTTTTATATGAAATTTTTAATTTTATTTATATGAAAGGCTGTGGATGTTTAAATCCGTGCTTAATGTCGACTATTTTATGGCTTCTTTTGCAGCATTAGCTGCCAAGAGAAACCGCTATCAGAGGCAGAAATCGTTGATGCTTCTTGAGCTGGAGAGTCAACACGCCAAGGGATTGCCTTCACCTTTTACTCCACAATAACTTTTTTAATGGAAATAGAAGATTGATTTTCATAGGATTCGGCTAAACATACACCATCATTGCTTAGAGAAAGTGATTGAACGTACAAGATTGCAGCATCCCAGTTCGGCCATGAGGCAAGGTCGCTTAAGAAAGATAAAAAATTGGCTTATGGGGTCTCTGCTTTTCTCTTACAACTTATTTGTCACGTCGAGGATCCTGCAGGCTACCTTTTGCGATGCACTGTAATTGTTTCCTGAAACCTCATAAAAAGGAATATCCCCGGTTATATCACTACACTAGCCACCTGTACCTTTTGACGAATACCTGATAGGAATAACCCATCAACGTATGCAACAATTTAGTGTAAGTTTTTCATGTTACATCAATTCTGCTTGATTCATAACCCTGTAGACTGATTTATATAGCTAAACATCAGTGAGTTTTAGTGTACAATGTACTGTCGAAGCTTTTTCATACATGTATCAAGTAAAGCATAATAGAGAAAATTACGTACATTTTCGTCACATAAATACTTTTAGAATTGCTTGCAATTCCTCTTTTAATCTGCATCATTTCTCGGTCCACAGTCCTGTAAAGATCTAATAAGGACACCTTTTATAGAATTTTTCCCTTTCACTGTCAGGGGCTTAAGTGTCTAAGGGCCCGATTGGTGAGAGGACAGAATCGAAAAATTAAATAACAAAGTTTTTTATTAGTGTAAGTTAAAAAATTCTTCCACTTAGTTTAAGCTTTTTATATATATATATACCTTACAAGTAAAATAACTATGCTATTTGTCAGTGACTAGTGATTGCTTGTCTTTAATATTAGACATTGTTCTAATGTTCATAAATCATTTTGACTATTCTGTAAGCTTCTGATGAGTATTCAGTATTGTCATGGTAGTTGGAAAGCATGCAAGTTGAATGGTGTTATCTTGACCTATATGAAGAGAAACCGCATATCAGTAAAAACGTAAGCTAGAGTTCAAAGGTTGCGTCGTAAATCATACTCTAGCTATTGTTTCTCAACGGTAGTGCGTCAAGAATAACTATATTTGCAGCTACCATGGAGACATTAAGATTTTGTTTGAGTTAGATTTTAGAGAAAAAAAAAAAAAGGAAACGAGAAGACAAGGGTTTAGACCTTCCAAAACCTTCCTAACCATATATTTTTAAATTCTCTCAAATTAGAATGTTTTGTATTAAAACTCTCTTCTCTTCTTTTTCTTTCTTTTCTTTACCTTTCAAACATTTTCTTTTCCTCTTCTTTTAAACTCTGCGTAAACAACATTTTAAAGGGTATATTATCTTATATTCAGCGGGTAATATTAGGTTCTTGATCACAACCCGAATTAGCCATAAAATCAACACCCTTATTCGCTTTCTGTAAATGTGAATAGTTTTAATTTTCACTTTCAGATATAGCAACAATCGAATCTTTTTTTCCTTTAATCAAAGAGCAACCGTTAGCAAAACTCTTGTATTTTAGTTTTTTGCTCTTGTATTTATGGTTAGGTTTCTGTATGGATAAGACAAAATTCATTTTCGTGACATCTAAGTTTTGAAAGAGGTTAGTTTATAACCGTTGCTAAGAATACTTTGATACACACTAAAAATTGTCCGGAGATATACATGAAGCATTTCTTGTGTTATACCTATGAATAATTTACAGATTAGTAATATTATTAAAAATTTAATTTTTTTACTGAATTTAAAGGTGTCGCATAATTTATATATTAAATCTCATTTAGTGGAACAAAACTGAGTTATTATTATTATTAGGGAATAACAACACATTATCGTGTTAATGGAATCTTTCATTATTATAAAGTCAATTTAATGGTTAAAATTATAACAATTTTTTTCCCTTCCACAGAAAACAACTTGTGATTTTGACAGACTCTTTTTTTGTTCCTTTCCACCTGCAAACCTATTCCCACGTAATTTCTTTCGGAGCCAAATATATTGACTTTTCGTCCCAACAAAGCTTTTCACTTTAAATCTTAATTTCTCTCTTTGCCTACTTTAAATCTTCCTGATTGGCCGCTGCTTCTCCACTGTTCCAATAATTGAGCAATAAGAAAGGTTGGTACATTGTTTGCTCATGTTGCAGTAAAAGTGCTTCTCCAACGCCTAATTACTGACGCATCGGGTTCATAGGGTAACTCATTCTAACTGAGATTGTTAAATCAGTTAATGTCAGCATAATGGTATAACTTTCAAAATTCGGACTAATTCATGTCTATATAAGAGAGAAGGAGTAACTTGCTTGCTAAAATGCTCACTAACTTAATTTTAAAATGTTTACAAATTTCAACTTTACAAAAAGATAAAAATTGTTATCAGAGCATCCCTATTTCTTACCAAAATCAAATAATTTATTAAGTTTGTGTTAAAAATTAACTAACATTAAAAAATATAATTTATAATATTAAAATAAACGTGAATTCATTTTCAATGGAACAAAATATAGTATAGTATTAATATATACGCACTTTGAAAAAGAATTAAAAAGCAGAAACCGACACGCTATAAGAGTTAAACGTATATTTGAAGTAGTTTCTTTTGTCCATACTGATGAAGCAGTTGAACTTTGACTTTTCTCATGCCTTGTCACCAAAACGACAAAGCGAAATACCTTGAGTTTATAATGAGGACGTCGTTTGCACTCTTCAAGTTCTGTTTTGGTCGACGATGAGGAAGAGAAAGTGATATATTTAAGAGAGGAAAATAATGGACTAAGAAAAAATAGAAATTATTGGACAAACATATTGATTATTGGGGGCTACGATAATTATGTTTTAATTAGCCTAATTAATATCTTCAACTAAACCAATGCCTCAATGATATGTTGGTCAACTTTCGTTGGCTTTGCATATATAATATTGAGCCCAATGCTTTGCTTAGTAGTTATGCCATGCAAATTGATCATGTAAATTGCATTAAATTCAAGGACAAAATTAATAAAGACCGATTTTTTTTATGTTACTTTTTAGTTAAAATTTAAATTTTATTCCGATAATATTAAATTTTTATATTTTACTGAAATATATTTTTAATTAAAAATAAATTTTTTTAAAAAAAAAACTATACTTAAAATTTAACTAATTTTATTTTTAAAAAACTCTTTTGACAGTAATAATAGTTATAATTCTGTGAATAATATTCCACAAGTCATGTATTATTTAGAAAAATCTAATATTTTATTATAATAGAATAATTTAATTTCTTTAATTTATTAATACTTTAATATATTAAATGAAGATCTTGACAGTTAACCACTTCAAATTAAAACATCAACATTTTTTATGGTTTACCTGATCATTTTAAATATTCACATAAAATAACATGTTAGATACTAAAAGCAATGCTCAATTATTTCCCAGTTATTGTATCCAAGATCTTTTTAAAAAAATTTCTTGTCCGAAAAACATTAATTATGATCGTCAACACTAAAGGTTTGATTTGAAAAATGAAAAATATTATATTTTTTATTTTTAATTATAAAAGTGTCACATTTTTTTGGTTTGTTTTTATATAAATATGCTTTAAAAAATAAAGTAATGTTTTTATAATTAAAAATACAAAGCAATTTCACTCTAAATGTACTTTTGAAATCGCTCAGCACTGGCATGTCCACACAGTATGAGTTAAACAATTTTTTTTTAATTATAGTATTTTTGGATTCTCTTTTAAATAGTAAGAGATTCAAATTTATTTTAATATTATTAGTTATAACTTTTGTATTGAATTTACATTTATAAATTTTTGAATGTAATTTTAAACACACACACTTAATTAAACACATCTAGTGAATCATCCCAAAATCTATTATCTATTAATCCTTCATCTACGCATGTCCTTCTTGGAAAAATATAAGGTCTGGTGGGTCAAATTTGGCAGTATGTATACATGTTGGTTACAGCATCCCACAGTGTATAACTTTGCACCTTAAAACGATGAAGTAAAACGACATTTCGAAGTTACTATTTACATAGAAGAATTTGAACTACGTGTTCGTCGACTTTGACCAGACCAAGATGATGAACAGCCACAAACGCAAACGTGGAAATTGACTTTAACAAACGTACAATATATGGATACATGACTTTTAAGACGCAACACGTTATATAAGACTTTATTTATATTATTCTGCCTGAAACATTTTCTCTTCCAGCCATGCATGCTTTGACTATGAGAAGACGGACTTCAAACTCAGCAAATGTAGTTCTTAGTTATTATATAATATAAGATATACGTAATTAAAATGCATCGAGTGTTTGTTTATATTGGTTTCAACATACATTTAACCCCACTTATCAACCTAATCTTTTAATTAGGAGATTAATGCCAACAAATTCCGAAGCTATAGACAGTACTTAATGTCTATTGTTACGCTTTTAAAAAAAGTATATCATATTATTAATTTTTATAATTCAGTGAAAAAAAGATACATAAAATATTAAAAGAAAAAGAAAAAATAATATTTATAAAATATAATAAAATCCTTTACTACACCTATGCTATATTTATGTTAATTATTTTATAAAAAAAAGGGGATGAAAGATATTTGAGTAAATAAATACCTATAAAGATTAATTATGAGAAATTAAAATCTTATAAACTAAAATACACTATGGATTTATTAAAAAATAATTAACATCATAGTACTTTTTTTTTTATTTTCAGCTAAATTTGAGTTTGTCCATAATTGTGCAGCAATCAGATTTTATGCCGCATATAACTGGAAGTAATATAATGGACAACTAACCTGATTCCCTTGGTTGACCTCTATATCTTGGGTCACCTAAAAAGGGATCCTTCTTTCCTACTTGTTACTGAAAAAAAATGCTCCATACAAATTTTCTGGAGAATTCTATCAGTGGTGTAATGAATTTATCATCTATAGTTCATGAATACTTAAGTAATATTAATATTTATTTTATATTTTAATTTTTTATTACATAATATCATCTATATTTAATATTTTTATTATTTTCTCTTGCGGAATATAGACATCTCCATGGATGTCTATCAAATATTTAGTTTAATTTACAGTATACTTTGGCAACTTGAACAGTGAAATGTCAGAGACGTCGACGCTTGAGTGAAAAACAAATAACGAAGGTGGCCAACAATTTCCGCTTGTCCATATTTTGTTTGACTTTGACTCAACACGATTAATTGTGGCCGTAATTAATTCCATTGTTTGGCAACCTTAAAAAATATTATCTACAATTATTTATATTAAAAAGCATCTTTAAAAACTAAACAGAATAACCTTTAGTTGTCTACTTTAATTGTTGATAAAACATTTTTCTTATTTTCTGGGCAACATGAATTCATAATTGAATAATATACTATCAATGTATTTTAATTCTTGCATGATTATTTTAGGTGTTTTATTTATTTGGATTGAGCTTTTATATTTAAAATAACATTTAACAAAATATGAATTAGAAAATTGGATTTGAATTTCAAATATTGAAATTTTTTTATCCATAAGAATCTAAAGTCCACAATTAAAAAGTGTAAACAGAACTATATGTCTCCGATCTGCAGTCAAATTGCCTGTGACAATTTAGACCAAAATACATTTGCTCACAATTGGCTGGTCAAAATGGAACCAGCCAGTCTAAATCAATGGTTCTACTTAATTACACAATAATAGTAATAATTGACACAGTAGAAGTAGTGAACATAATAGTTCTGTGACCTGGTAGGTTAAGTAAATTTACAGATCAATTTTACCTACATGCTATATAAAAAGTTTAAGATTTACTGAAACTTGAGAGTCTGTAGTATAAACAAAAAGCTATTTTGAAATTAAATCTTCAGCAAGTTCTCTTTATTAAGTTCGGTGTACAAGAAAAATTTTGTTGAGAAAACTAATTCTATTATGTTATAGATATATCTACCTCAAAAAAAATATTTCTAATAAAAATTATTAATATTTTAGATAAAAATATATATTAATTATATAATAAATATTAAAAATTAATTGAATAAAAGGAAAATTTTAAGTATTTTTAATATTTTTATATTTTTCTATTAAAACTAAAATTTTATATCATTAAAACATGAATATTTAATGTTATTGCAAATTATTGAAGTAAAATTTAAAATTTGACTGAGAAACAACATAAAAAAAAATACCTAATGAACTTTACCTAAATCTTATCTTCAACATAATTTATAAAAAAATTATCTTTAATTTTTATTTCAAAAAATAATTAAATTTAACAATATCCTATGTGAGACTCGTCAGTCAATATAACTAGTGAATTTTCTTATACACGATGTTATTGAATTAAAATAAAATTTTAAAAATAAATATATTAGGTGAAAAATCATATGATATAACTAAAAATAATATTTTTTTAAAATTAATCTCATTTAAAATGATTTTTATAAATATTTTTATTTAAAAAAAAGACTGATAATTATGCAGAAATAGATTTTAAAAAATATAACTCAACAATCTAAATTAAAGTAAATAAAGAAAACCAATGTGTTAAAAAACTCATCCTAACTCACTTTTAAAATCTATCTCACGATAAGAAGATTATCTTAATTCTTATAAGGAGTATTTTGACTCTATTCTTAATCAATGTGGAACATTTTAACACACCTCTCTTACACTCAGGATTAAACATTTGATGTGTAAAATTTGCAACACTGAACATCTGCATGGGTAAACCCAACAAAACTGAACATCTATCTAGGACAGTTCAACATTTAAATTGAATAAGTTCTAATACTATGATAAGAAACTTAAGTCTAACTTACTCTTAAAAGTTAACTTATAAAAGGAGGACTACCCTAACCCCTAACTTTTATAAGAAATATTTTACCTCTATTCTTAACTATCGTATTACATCTTAACACAAAGTTTTTATATAATACGGTTGAGATAGCAATTGAGAGCAAAACTACTGACGTTCAATTAATTTGGATGTTTTGTATTAATTGAATGTTTTGTATTATTTGATGAATGTAGGCTGCATATAGTTGGTAGTAACTAGTAATCATCCACCATGCATGGATTATCCTTAAAATCTTCTTGGATGCTATAATTGAAAAGTTTTTGTGAGATTCTCATGTTGTTAGAGGGTCCACAAAGACTGAACAAAACCAAAGCCAGTAAACCACTGAAGTGGAACTCATCAAAAACAACTGGCACACTGTCTTCAGCTCTCAGGTTTTTATCAACTTGCTTCTGTGGTCCCTCCCATAGCCAAGGACTCTTCCGTACGTGTATGCGCAATAATATGCATGTTTGTTCTATATGGCAACACTCAGTTCATTTTTATATAATTATTAGTGTTTTGCTATGATTAGCTATATTACGAAAATTAATATTATTATGTAAAGCGGACAAATCATATAAAAATATATTACATAGAAATAACATTTACTGTTCCATTGTATTTCTAAATCCATTCCAAAAAGATTCGTGTTAAATCTGATTAAGTAGTTTTCTTCTATTTTTATGTATAAAGTAGTAGCTATTAATACTTGTTTTACACCCTCCAAACTAGAAATCATATTAGACTTTAATTAGTTTGATCGAGACAAAGCTCTTTTCACTATTTTTCTTTTTCATTTATAAGTATTTAACAATATAAAATGTAAATAAATATATACATTTCAATAAAAATAATAATGATGATTATAGTCTTGTGAATGAAAAAGGAAAAAAAATCTATATACTGCTTGACTTTGTCTGATTGAAAAAAAAAAAACCAAAATGGTAGGAATAATAATGCAATGTACATCCATATAAAATTATAAGGTAACAACTACCGAGCATGACAACAAATGTCCCAATGATCTGTTTCACAGAATCCAAGTCGTTCTAAGAAGTATTATTGCCAACTTTCTGGATAATTTAGAATCTTAGATTTCGTTGGACAAACAAGATAAATGGATCATCAATATTATCGTGAGCAAAAAGAGGAATGTGCAATGGATGAGCTTTTTCTTTTTTTATTTTTCATTTTAGTTAAAATTGATGGTAAAATACTAAGGTGAACCTGGCCAATAAGACATACTCGAACTGGGGATGTGAAGTTATGTGGGGACTCACGGATGGGCAAGAAGTTGTTTTTGGTTGAGAGCTTGTTATAATAAATGAATGGCAAATAGAATGTATTTTTATTATAATCAACAAAACATAATAACAAAATCAACAACAACGATGGTGCTTAACAAAAAACTAGTAATTTTTATGTCTATCCATAGTTCTCGGATGAACAAAATAAAAATAAAAAATAAAAAAAAGCCCTCTCTTTTTCCTGTTTGGTAATTTGTAATTTGAGTAGATCACTGTCTCATGAAAAGCGATAACGAATAATAGAGTAAAATTTGATGAAGCAAACAAAAGGATAAGAGACGATGGTGAGAGGGTGTGTTGTAGGAAGTAGCAGGAAATGAAGAAGAGGGGGGATGAACTTGAGTAGATGAAGGTCCACCCACACCCTCATGTGAACCCCATCAAGTTGGTAATACGACCTTCACTGAATCAAGGTTCCCCCCCTCACGTGGGTCCTACGTCACATACACAGCCCACAACTTAGAATCATGTTAGTCATGGATTCCATTTTTAGGGCAGATAAAGTGAATATATATCAATGTTAACTTTACATTCTGTGTTTTTTTTTAAATCTTTTAAACATGAACTAAATAGGATATAGTTTGTTAATATTTATTTTTTATTCTTTTAATTATTGTCATCGTCATTCGTCATGTTCATTTTTTATGTATTTTTATTTTATTGAAAAATTATATGTAAAGAAAATTTATTTAATCTATGTTTAAAAATTAAAAATATAAAATAAAAAACAAATTAAGATAACTTAAATGCAATATTAGCGAGTAAATTTCTAAATATTTTAAAATTTATAATAAAAATATAGATTCATGAAAATAATATATAATTTTTATTGATGATAAATTTTGTATTGTATTAAAAATAAATTAAAGAGATACTTTTTAAAATTTATTTAAAATAAAATATATATTAAACAAAGAAAAATTATGCTACTAATAAAGAAAAAATAGCACCCAATTTTATAGTACAAGAGTAGATAAATACATGTCACTTTGGTTTTTTAACTTACTATTACATCTTATTTAAATTATACTTTTACATTTAAATTAAAATATAACTTAATATAAATAATATCACATATTATATTATTTTAAAAATGTTTAAATAAAGAATAACTTTTACTCGAATATAGATGAAACTCTTGTAGAAAGTGACTCTAGCCGGGTTCAAATAGAACTGTCACTTTGCATTCAATAATATTAAATTTGAGTGGATTAACATCATGTCAAGTATAATTTGGTCCCATAAATTACTAGTCCATGTTTATCGCATGCGGCATATTGAAACTAACTGCTGGTACGTCTTTATTTACTGACATAACTAGAGTTCAAAATCACAGTTAAATTAATTTGTTTATACTAAAAGATTTTATCATTATTTAAAATAAATAAAATATTAAAAAATGTAAAATTATAATAATAGCTTAGATTGTAATGAAATAATGAATATGAAATTGAAAAGTGACCCACAGCTTGTGATCTTATCCTTTGTATGTTGTCACACAGAGACACCCAATGAATCTTCCTCCATCTCAAACTGAGTTGACCCACCCATACCTACATCATCCCCACACACACACACACAATAAATGAAAGAAAAACTAATTATAGTAATTACCGATGATGCCCAAACCTCATGACATTTCATTTTCCATTAAAGCATAATAAACAAAGACAGGTTCCTCCTATATATATCCACCCTCAAAACAACCCATACATATTCTCAACTTTCTCTTCACACTTCTCATACTTCATAATATACACTACCTCAAATATTCATACCACTTTCTTCACAAAAACCAAAGTTTGTTAACAGTTATATAAAAAAAAAATGGATGGAGGCAGCTCCACAGACGATACCACCACAAGCAGTGACTCTCTTTCCGCATGCCTAATTCCGGCGAAGCAATCTCCGCCGTCGACCAACACTCCCAGCCGCGTTGACCTCGACGGTTGCGGAGGCTCCGGCGAGGCTGACTCCCGGAAACTTCCGTCGTCGAAATATAAAGGCGTGGTGCCACAACCGAACGGCCGTTGGGGCGCTCAGATTTACGAGAAGCACCAGCGCGTGTGGCTCGGAACCTTCAACAAGGAAGACGAAGCCGCCAGAGCCTACGACATCGCGGCGCAGAGATTCCGCGGTAAAGACGCCGTCACGAATTTCAAGCCCATCGCCGGCGCCGGCGAAATTTCCGACGACGCCGAAGCGCAGTTCCTCAACTCGCATTCCAAATCCGAGATCGTGGACATGCTTCGCAAGCACACGTACGACGACGAGCTCCAGCAGAGCAAGCGCGGCACGAGCCACCGCGGGGGCGAGATCGGCAAGTCCACATCGCGTGGCATGTGCGACGCGAGGGCGCGTGAGCAGCTGTTCGAAAAAACGGTTACGCCGAGTGACGTGGGGAAGTTGAATCGGTTGGTGATACCGAAGCAGCACGCAGAGAAACACTTTCCGTTGGGCAGTATCGCCGGCGAAAGAATATCGCCGTGCGTGGCGGCGACCAAGGGCGTCCTCTTGAATTTCGAGGACGTTGGAGGGAAAGTGTGGCGGTTTCGTTACTCTTATTGGAACAGTAGCCAAAGCTATGTGTTGACCAAAGGGTGGAGCCGGTTCGTGAAGGAGAAGAATCTGAGAGCCGGTGATGCGGTTCGGTTTTACAGGTCGACCGGACCGGAGAGACAGCTTTATATAGACTGCAAGGGAAGGAGTGTGAATGATGTCGATGCTAACAGGGGTGGTTTGTTTATTCCGGTTGGACCGGTAGTTGAGCCGGTTCAGATGGTTCGGCTTTTTGGGGTTAACCTTTTGAAACTACCCGGTTCGGATGTTGTTAGGGTTGGTTGCAATGGGAAGAGGAAAGAGATGGAACTGTTTGCCTTAGAGTGTAGCAAGAAGTTTAAGATTGTTGGAGCTTTGTAACATTACCTTTCTCTCTTTCTCTTTTGTAAGTTCTAGAATTTTTGTGAGGGATGAAATCATGAGAGAAAATATGTATATTTTTAGACTAAAGGAGAGTAAGATTAGAGCCAACACAATTTGTACAAGCAAAAACAAAACAATGAAGAAGGATTAATGTTTATAATCTTTATCCCTCTGTCAACTCTAATTATGCAATTTGATAGAACTTTATTAAATTGATCTCACCATAAACTGTTTTATGTATTATCAATACTTATTTTTATTTTAAATTTGGCTGCTTAGTCCCATAATATTTTTAATCAATGATTATTTAATTAAATAATTGTACTTATTCTATTTTTCACTTTTTTTTATCATAGCGGGTAATTTTTTTATATTAAATATTTTATTAAATATTTAAATTTGAATTTTTACAATTTTTTATTTTTAAAATTTTTATTTAGTGAAATAACTTATTTATTATAAATAATATAATATTTACTCATTTTATTTAATGAAAATAGTTTTAGAGATTAATTTTTTATAAAATAAATATTAACAATACATTTTTTGTTATTGATAAGATTTTTTTTAAAATTATTAATTTATTAATGAAACTCATAATTTTATTATTTTTAACAAATTTTAACTAATAACAAAAATTTATTAAAAAATATCTGGTTAATATTTATTTTTTATCATACACAAATAGTTTTGAATATTAAACATTTATTTTTAATTAATATAAATTTTTAAATTTATTTTTTTAATTTAAAAATTTTCTCTTTATTTTATTTTATTTAATTGAATAAAATATTTAATATTAAGAATAATATTAAATTTTTTTAAAATTCATAAAATTTCTTAAATTAAATATATTTATATAATATATTTTTATTTTTATTTAGCAATGCACATAAAGTAATATATATATATATATATATATATATATATATATATTAGTTTAAATTGTAATTATTCATATGTTAAACCGTAAATACGTTATGTTTATTTTGTAATTTGCTTATGTATATTTAGAACTTGTTTACATAATTAAAATTTGTCACTTATCACAAAACTTACACTATAAAATTATAATATATATATATTACCTCTCTTATATGTTTAGTCTTAAATAAAGAATTTAATCAATTAAGTAATAAAAGATTTTTTAAAACATTTTAAAATATATGGAGCTCACATTGACTACTTCAAGGTAAAGTGGTATATAACTAAGTTTTTAATTTTATCCAGCTATTATATGTCTCCTAATTATATAATTTTTGCAGTGTAGGGGCATGGCTTTCCAAATTAAAGCATTTACCTTAAAGCTTATTAGGAATGAGAAAGGTACAATAGAAATTCATAAAAAATAATAATTTAGGGGGTCCATGGGAATGTGAACAAGTTGATAACCAGACATTTGCCCAATAAAGAATGAAACTAAGAAAAAGCTTCTTCTAACATTCTTCCAATTATGGACTTGCCTGTACCCTGTTTTTGGAATGCTCATATTTTGTTAAAATTGTTTTTTAATTGAAAATTGTTAACACCAGGGATGAGGATAAAGAATAAATTAATTATCATAAATATTTATTATTTTGAGAAAATAATAAATTTATATTTTAATAAAAAATTATTATTTTCAATACTTAAAAAAATAAGTTAACAACTATTTTAATCTTGCTAAGAATTTTATTAACTAATTAAAAAAAATTTATAAATTTTTTTAATTAATTAATAAGAAATTTAAATTTTTAATCAGTATTCTAAAAATATTTACTAAGAACTTTTTTTGTTAAATAAAATATTTAAAATTAAATAAATTTTATATAAAATGCATAATAATTTTTTTTGTCAAAATTTAAATTTTTTAAAAGTTAATTTTAATATTTTTTCTAAATTAAAGTTGATTAATCTCACCTTTGAATTGCAATAAATTCTTCGTTTTGGCCTTATAGAGGTGTACGTGACCCCTTTTTTCATCAATATCGTCAGGTCTAAATTAATTTTAATGAGTTTCAAATTCAAAAATTAAATTTAATGTATTTTAAGAATAAATCTAAGTGATTTTTTGTCATTCTAACTTGATCTTTTCTTGTACGATAAACAGGAGTTCTAATCTCTAATCTATATTATCTTATTCATTAAGATAATTTTATTCCAAGCCGCCTTGTGAGTCCTCTAAACAACTTGCATATCATACAAAACAAAAAATCATCAAATGGTTGGAAAAAAAAATTTATTTATTATTATTTAGTCAAGCAAAAATAGGAAAAGAATAGTAAGAAAAAACTATTTTTTATTTAAATTTTAAAATTTTCTTTTTACAAGTTTTTCTTGCTCTCTCGTCTAAATAAAATAAAGGAAATCCTTTTGAAAGAGAAATGTTAATAAAAATTCTGCGAGTTAATGGTTTTGTAGACATAATACTATTAATTATCTTTAATTTCAATGGTTTATATTCTTCTAACCATTTCAAAAATTGGAAGCTAGCTAATTCAGCTGTTTACAATATTGTAGTTTATATATAAAGTAAAATTCATAAAGTTATCCATAGCTAAACTGAGTTTTGTTAGTGATAAAAAAATGTTTAACGAGGGCAAGTGATTACATTTTTTTATTTTTTTTTGTTAAGATACGCAGCAAATTTCAATAATAGTTTACAATTATAGTAATACAGTAGAAACTCTTTAAATTAATAATGTCAGGACCAGAGAAATTTATTAATTTAGAGAGTTATTAATTTATCGATAAATTAATAATTATTAATTTAAAGAGTTTTTAAGTAATTATACTATACATACCAAATAAAAAGGCAAATTAATCTATACCTCTTAGAATTACGTTGCAGCGAACCTTGGAACTCAACGTACAATAAATTAGTAACTACACTACATATGCATTGATAATCAATAATGACTTTTGAAGTACAGTAAATGTAAACAAGAGAAACAAATGTGTTCAATATATTCTTAAGCAAGTTTGACATATATAAATTACATGAATGTGTTAGAGTATTCAAACCATATCTCACAAGATGGCTTCTCATCTAAAAGGTGTTGCAAAATCAACTATGTCAGATCAAATACGTAAGGAGTTGTGTGAGTATAAGAGAGATAATCCTGCAAGCACACAAAAAGACTTGCAGAGATGGCTTAAGGGAAAATTTCAGTTGAAAGTTAGTCAAGGAACAATATCAAACACACTTAAGCGGTCATATGACTATCTCTCTGCTAAAATAGAAAAGAAAAGAGCAGAGATCAAAAGACACAAATCAGCAAAATATCCTGACATGGAGAAGGTTGTTTATGAGTGATTTCTCCAGCATCAAGAACGTGTGAATATCACAGGAGAATTAATTTTGCAGAAGGCAAGAGATACAATGAAATTCGTGTACCCTCATGATGATTCAGATTTTAACTTCTCTATAGGATGGCTTGGGAAATTCAAGTACCGACATGGCATAAAGTCATTTCGTCGTTTTGGCGAGAGTGGGTTTGTTGATATACAAGACATGGAGCAGAAATTGGTATCGATTCGGGAGAAAATTGATCAGTTTCCTATGAAAGATGTTTTCAATATGGATGAAACTGGGTTGTTTTATAGGCTACAAGCTGATCATTCACTGGCAACAAAACAACTTGAAGGAAGAAAACAAGATAAAGAAAGACCGACGGTAGTTATTTGTTGCAATGAAGATGACTCTGAAAAAATCTCTCTATGGATTATTGGAAAATATGCAAAGCCTCGTTGCTTCAAGAATGTCAACATGAATAGCTTGAATTGTCAGTATCGAGCTAACAAGAAAGCATGGATGACTAGTGTGCTTTTTGATGAATATGTTCGTTCATTTGACCAAATGATGCAGGGTAGAAGAGTTCTACTTGTGGTGGATAATTGTCTAGCACATTCAAGAAATATTGAAGGGCTAAGAAATGTTGAGTTGTTCTTCTTGCCACCCAACATGACATCAAAGATTCAACCTTGCGATGTTGGGATAATAAGAGCTTTCAAGATGCATTACCGTAGAATGTTTTACTGCAAAATATTGGAAGGTTATGAGGTGGGACAATCTGATCCAGGGAAGATAAATGTCCTTGATGCTATTAATTTGGCAATCCCAGCTTGGACGATAGATGTTCGAAAAGAAACTATAGAGAATTGCTTCTGACACTGTAAAATTCGTTCAGATAGTGACGTTGCAAGAAATTTAGATGAATCCACTTTTGATGAAGAAACTCAAGACCTCGAGACTATGATCAATCAATGTGGCTATCGTAATAAGATGGATATCGACAATCTAATGAACTACCCATGTGAAAATGAAGCATGTTCGGAGGTTCAGAGTTTAAAAGATATTGTGGGTACTATCATTGAGAACAATGCAGAGGATGACAACGAAGATGATACAATGTCTTTGGAGCCTGTTATGCGAAAGGAAGCACTTATGGCGTCGAACACTCTTCACAACTTTATGATACAATACAAAAATACAATACCTGAGCTATTGGATGCAATAAGAAAAGTTAGAGATGAGTTCCAAATAGACTTAAACTTTAAAGGAAAACAGACAACTATTGAATCATATTTCAATAGAGTGTAATATATTTTTTTCAGTTTCTATGAATTATTAATTTATGATTTTTTTGGGACCGAAAATTATAAAGGGATCTCCCGAAAAATTATTATCTTATTATTTTATCGAATTTTTTAATTTTTTATATTGGCCCAAGTCGGGATCGGATAAATTTATTATTTTAGAGAGTTTATTAATTTATCGAGTATTAATTTAAAGAGTTTCTACTGTAAATGTCTTACTGATAAAGATTTACTTAATTTAAGTTTAAAACTTATTAATTAATTTTGAATAATTTCATAAAAGTATTTTGTTAATGTCAGTTCTATTAGAAAGAGAAATATTTATTGTATTTTTATAATTTTAGTATAATAATTATGTACTTTTTTTATAAAAAAAATTATATTTGTTGATATTTAAATTCAACTTTAAATTAAAGTTAACAAAACTCTTTCATAAAATTATCTTTATTTAGTGCAATCCTGCAAACATTGGGTACAAGATACGTAAAGTAAAAATGGACCAAACAAGAACGTGTAGAAGTAAAATAGACCATCTTTAACAAATCCAAAAAAGAGAAGATTGAAGAGTTAGTCGAGGTTAGTGATTTATATGATAT